ATTCCCAATTGGGAAGGCCCTTATCGGATCTATGAAGAAGTGTAAGGCAGCATCTACCGCCTGGAAACTCCAGATGGCAGGCAGCTAGCCAGAACTTGGAATGTAGACAACTTAAAAAAGTACTACTTCTAAGACTTGTAAATTTTTTGTAAATAAAGTTTATCAATGAAAAGATGCTTTATTTTCACATATTTATTGCTTTCTGTATAATTACCATCTGTGGAATGTACAAACAAACTGGTAAAATTTTTTACGTTTGCTCCAACATGAGTAGATATAAGCTAAGTCCAATACTTAGCAGCTATTGATGAGGCCAATGGCCAGATAACCTTAAAACCATCGCCTGTTCTCCAACATGAGTAGGCAACCGGCGACGCCCATCCGGGTGAATTCGTCGCAGAGAGCATCTCCCATTCGGGTGGAACATTGTTCTATAAACTTGAAAACAAACGGCCCTACCGATTGTCTGGATTAATTGAAGCCTGGATAACTTTGGCTACCGCATGTTCCATATTAGCTGGTATCCGGTTTCTAGGTCGGATATGACCAGTTGTTGCTCAAAAGCACTAGAAACGGTTAGAACTGAAGATCTAAGCTAAGTCAGAACCTTAGCAGCTAAAACAACTCGTTTAAAGCAACTACACACGGCCAATGGCCGCCTGCTACTAAACGATAACCCGTCTGCTCCATCAAGAGCAAGACATCCGGATACTAAATTCGTCATAGAAATCAACAGGCAAAGACTGATTAATCCCATAAGGATTAAATTACAGCTGGTTGATCTGAATAAACTAAGGAACCTAGACGCCATAGCAAGAACCGCATGTCCTACTAACACCAACCGGTTTTCGTCTGTCATTCCAACTTGGAATTAAATCTTGAAAATTGATTTAGTGGACGACTGTCAGCTTGGGGAAATCACCAAGCGCACATTCGTACAGGGGAAAATAAGCCTGGTGCATCCAGTAAACCGCATGTATGTAAGCCTAGTGCATCCGGTAAACTGCATGTATTAGGTTACTTAGAAAAATACGTGCATATTGAAGAATTACAAAAATTGAAATAATGCAAGTTGCAAAGATTGGCAAAACCGACACAGTCGGCAAATCATATTATAAAAAACCGAGCAAAAGGCTGGGAGAGGAACTGTTAACCAGATCCACATCCGGAGAAATAAGTGTTGTGGAAATACAAAGAAATACACGGGCACTAGGGGTGTACTTAAACAGGACCAGACCTGAAAATCGACCTGAACCGGACCTGTTGGGATCGGAACTGTAGATTCAGGTCCGGTCCCAGTCCTTGAAATTCAGGGATTCCAGTTCCGGTCTAAAACCGGGGATTTCAAGTCCGGAACTAAAACCCGGAATTTATAATTTTTTATATATATATATAAAACAACCAAACCCTAGATCTAATTCAGAGTTTCAGACTTTAAGTAGTAGCCGTTTTCTCTTCTCAAACTCTCTCAAGTCTCAACCCTAGATCTCCTCTCCTCGCCGAACTCAAGAAAACCACCGCAGCACCCAACACCGACAACCACCGCAGCAGCCATTACCGCAACAACCACTACAAGGAGTAGTAGCGGTTGCAGAGGCTTTGGCGTCGGAATCTTCCGGAATAGAATAAAAAGTCATTTTTTCACTTTAATTTCAGACTTTTGATTCAGTTGTGTTACTTTGCGATGTCGCCATGTACGGTATTGAGTTTTATCGCCATGAAAACAAATTGACCCAGAGTTACTACTTTGCGATGTTGCCATGTAATTTTAGTTTATTTTTGTGTTTAGGTTTTCTTTTTTTTTTTTAGGTTATTTTTTTTTGTGTGTGTAATTTGTTTTCATTTTTGTTTAATTGGTATGGTTTAATTATAATTTTTGGAAATGTTGTGGTTTAATAGTTTTAATAAGGACTGAACGCTTTGGTATGTAATTTGTTTGTTGTACTGGGTCATTATGATATTTGACTCCATTAAATGGTGGAGGTGGCTGTTTAGGTCTATTCAGGTCCAAACCCGGACTGGACCTGATTTTTTAGGTCTGACCCGGAACCGGACCTGTTGAATCAGGTCCGGTCTCCGGTCCTCAAAATTGACCGATTCAGGTCCTGGTCCAAAAGGTCCGGTCTGTTGGAAATTTAGAGTGTTGATGGTTGCGCGCTCGCGAACCATGAAGAGCGCCCCGCGCAGAGAGCGCGCCTAAACCGCGTACCTTTCTGGAAATTGTCAATTTTGAAGGAAGAGGTTGGCGCGGCCGCGTATCTGGTGGCGCGGTCGCGTGTCCTGGTGGCGCGCCCGCGCTGCTGGTCACGCCCGAACTGCGCCCCTCACTGCCTTTTTGTGAAATCTCACAAATTTTGTGAGGAGCGCCTGCTCCACATGGTGGCGCGCCCGCACCTCCCTGTTTTGCGGTTTTTTCTAACGGTTGAGTCTTTTGATAAAGGACTGATTTTGTGAAAGATGGATACACAGAAAAATTTATTCTTCATCTTCCCAAGTAGAATTCTCCACAATTTTCTCTCAAATTTCTTGCAAACTTTTGTGAGAAAACTCTATCAATTAAGTCAATTTTGAGAATTTGATCATCTTGCTACAAATCTTAGTGCAAAGATTGTAGTGTTGTCTGTTGTATCTCAAAGTGAATTTCCAGTTTCAACCCAAGCACCGTGGTGGGGGAAATAATCATTTTAGGAAAGTGTTTACACGCCTTAGACAAGTATCCAGTATTGAAGACTCACGTGGTCCATAGTATTCTCATGTTCTTGGTGATTTTATTGGCTTGGTGTAGAGGCAAGTTTTAGTATCTTTCATATTAGTATTTTCCTTGTAATTTCTGATTACATTGTTTATTTAGTGCTTGGATTGTAATGCTTTGATTAGTATTGATTATTGTATAATTTGATTGAATTATACCCTACTTAGGTTATGTTCCACCATTTTAAAGTAATTCTTATTGTATAGAATTGCTGAAAACCTAACAATCTAAAGTGATTAAAGAATCATGTCTAGTGTGAAAGATCTTACCACTAATTTTGTCAAACTTAAGAAGTTTGATGGTGTGGAATTTCGATGTTGGAAGAAGAAGATCTATTTTCTTCTTACTTCGTTGAAGATTGCCTATGTCATTAGTACTCTTAGGCCTGTAGAACATGAGAATGAAACCATGGAAGATGTTTGTGAGAAATCAAAGTGGGATAATGATGACTTTATTTGTCGGGGTCATATTCTCAATGGGATGGAGGATGATTTGTTTGATGTGTATCAACATGTTGAGTCTGCTAAAGAATTATGGGAGTCTTTGGAGAGCAAATATATGGCGGAGGATGTTTCTAGCAAGAAGTTCCTTGTAAGTAATTTTAATAATTTCAAATTTGTTGATAGTAGGTCCATCATGGATCAATTTCATGAGATACAACGTATTTATGGTAATTTGAAACAACATGGAATTAGTGTTGATGAACTATTTGTTGTTTCAAGTATCATTGATAAGCTACCTACTAGTTGGAAAGTTGTTAAACATGAATTAAAACACAAAAAGGAGGACATATCTTTGTCTAATTTGGCTACCCATCTTCAAGTTGAAGAAGGGATTAGGGCCATGGAAAATGCTAAGGATGGGAATCCTAGCACTTCTACCATTAATGTGGTGGAAGAAGGTAAATCTAGTGCTTCAACTAGTGGAAAGAGGAAGAATGTTAATTCTTCCGAAGGAAAGTCCAAGAAGAAGAAGGACAACAACAAGTTTGCTTATTGGGAATGCGGTAAAGTTGGACATCGCAAGAAGGACTGCTACATTTTCAAGAAGAAAATGGAGAAATCCAAGGAGGGTCATGCTTCTAGTTGCAAGGACCCAACTGTCAAAGGTAATCCTTTACATGAGGTTGAATTTAATTCCGGTATGGATTTAAATGCAAGATCCTAACATTTTTATGGTACAGGATGATGACTCATGGTGGATGGATTCGAGGGCTTCAAGGCATGTATGCAAGGTGAAGCATTGGTTCAAAACCTTTCACAAGGTTGTTGATGGTGAACAGCTCTATATGGGGAACAACTCTTCCATCATGGTCCAAGGAAGAGGACAAGCTGAGCTAATGTTTAGTTCGGGCAATGGTATCTTTCTTAGGGATGTATTATATGATCCGGATATCTCTAGAAATCTTGTATCAGGCCCTACCCTGAATCGACTTGGATATAAACTAGTATTTGAAGCAGATAGATGTATAATTACTAGAGGTAGCACTTTTGTTGGACGTTGTTATTTAACTCATGGATTATTTAAACTCTCGTTAAGAGAGAAGTTTGTAATGATGGATGATGTTTGTTTAAATATTAGCAATGACAATGGTGTGAATTTGTTTTATTTATGGCATTCCAGATTAGGTCATGTTAATTTCAATAAGTTGAATTTCATGTCTAAACTAGAGTTAATTCCACCTTGTGATATTTCTTCTAATAAATGTTCTACTTGTATGTTGAACAAGATCACTAGAACTCCTTTTAAGAGAGTTGAGAGAAGTTATAATATTTTAGAACTGATCCATAGTGACTTGTGTGATTTTCATAGTACTCCTTCTTTGGGGAACAAAAGATACATGGTTACTTTTATAGATGATTTTTCTAGGTTTTGTTATGTGTATCTTTTTCATTCCAAAGATGAAGCTTTGACAAAGTTTGATATTTATAAAAGAGAAGTAGAACTACAAGTAAAATCATTTATTAAGAAGATTAGAACTGATAAGGGAGGGGAATATTATGATCCAGCTTATTTCCAATCATTTGGTATAATTCATGAGACTACAGCTGGTTATGCACCACAATCAAATGGTGTAGCTGAAAGAAAAAACAGAACTCTCACTAGTAGAAAAAATCAAATAGGCACCCCCCATTTAGCACCGGTTCTTGAAAACCGGTGCCAAAAGAAATGGGCGGGATTGGAAAATAGGGAGTTGGCACCGGTTCCAACCAAAACCGGTGCCAACTCATTTAATTAGCACCGGTTCAAACCGGTGCCAACCTTAAAAAAAAATAAAATAAAATAAAACAAAGAAAGCAATAGAGTTGGCACTGGTTCGCCTTAAACCGGTGCCAACTATAGTAATTAGCACCGGTTTGAACCGGTGCCATTTTTTTTTAAAAAAAGCCCGGTTTAAGGCGCGTCTTCTTCTTCATCATTTCCTTGCTATTTCCTCTTCGTTCTCATCTGATCTGCCTCTCTCTCTCCTCCATTGTAGCGTACTCGAATTTCTCCATTGAAGGGGCTTCTGAGCTTTCCTAACACTCTATCTCTCTCCTTCGATCTCCTTCTCCATTAAAGGCCTCCATTCCTATTTCCTAAGTCTCTGAGTTATTTCATTGAAGCGCACTCAATGTTCTCCATTGAAGCGTTCTCCGTTGAATCTAATTCTTGTATCCCCCATTGAAGCGGCTTCTAAGGTAAGTTGTTTGTTGTTGTTATCATCACATCAATTTCACAATCTAGGGTTTATATCTGATCTAATCTAATTTAATTATCAGTGCTTTAAGTTTAGGGTTCGCAAATTCTTAGATTATGAAACATCATATCCAAAATAAAAGAAAATTATGAGCTTAATTTGATTATTGAATTGAATCAAGTATCCCTAAAATTATGTATTTTTCGAGATAATTCAATATGAAATCAAATATCTTTTCCCTGGGCCTAGGGCGGCCGACCCTCCTGCCCTTCCTCTGGGACGGGCCTGATTGAATTATATTTTGGTGTTTCATTAGTTGCTGAAATGCTGGAGTTTTGCTACTGATATTCTTATAAGTGAGAAGAATTTAATTTGAGAATTGTGTCAAATTTGGTTTGCTAATGTGGTGCAAAACCCTTAAATTATGTGAGAATTAGTGGAATTTGTTAGATTAAAGCTCGTATTTTTATACTAAATTAGCAGTATTTTTTTTCTTTTTTTTTCTTGATGACATATAGATGGCATTTAGAGGTAGAGGACGTGGGAGAGGATTTGGTGGAAGTGACTTCAAGTTTGTGGAGCCAGAATCTTTTGTACTTTTTCCGGTGAGTATATAATTTAACCCAATTTTATCATTTTTCATTGTTTTGAATCTTTTGATCTTGGATGCCAAAATTTGCTCTTAACAACTGTTGTAATGCAACTTTGCAAGTTATTTTCTTTGTCGAAAGAACCTGATAATTTAGTTTATGTTAGTGGAACCCAATTCATTTCAAGACTACGGCTTTGTTGTTGTTGTAGGAGAAACCAAACTATTCTATGAATTTGATCACTTGAAACCTTCATAATTGCCCTGTTCCCGTCTAGTTTCACTAGAGGTAAGACTCACATACGTGGCTGTTGCCTGGATCATTACTGGAAAAAACGCAGACCATAATTTTGTTTTCCTTTTTAGAAGAGAGGGTAGAGGAAATGTCTTTCAAGTTGGACTTGTTGAAGATGTTATTGATTTATAGTTGGTCGTATATATTTTGTAAGGATATTATCAACATCCAAGAATATATGCTAAGTTGAACCTTGGAAGTTAGTAATCTCTTGTGTTGGACAATCTGTTGGTCTTGTATAGTCTTCAATCGGATCTATTATTTGTGGAAATGGTAAAGTGCACTTGCTCAAGCTCAACCTTGGAACTTTCACTCTTAATTATTGTTTGACACTCGTTCCTATGATTTATTTCTAACATTTATATCACTCCCTAAAATCCTTGATTTATGTCCTCAGTCCTCACCTTCATATTTGATCATTTCTGTATTAATTTGTTTAATGCTATACATTTTTTTTTTAATTTGCCACAGGATATTGAGTTGCCTGACAGAAACAATGTTCCTGAAGAGAAGGGTTTAGCATTACGTAATTTTAAGTTTCAGAACTACTTTCAAAGCTCACCGTACCACCTTGAGGAAACATTCTCTGGTGGTAAGCAATCTGGCTGCATTTTTTTTTAATGGTGTGCTTGTGTTTTATATTTAGAAAGTCAACTGTCAAGGAGAATGAAGTTTGTGGCAGTGTGTATCTATACAGTTTGGTTTTAATATTTTATACTGTATGTAAACTTATTGAAGATCACTAAGCACAATGGTAACGTGGATGTACTTGAGCTATGTCTGTTCAGGATGCTTTTTGCACTACCTGTGTTGTCGGTTATGTGCTCTTGTCTCTTTACTCTGTTTGACATTGCCCCTCCCGACTTCCCGAGTGTTCCAACACAAACCAGTAAATTCTGGTGAACTTATTCTGTAAATTCCATTGGTATTGAATTTGGTATTTAAGCATAGGTGTAGAATTAAGTTTTCTCTTTATTACTGAACTCAACTTCTCTCAGTGATTAGAAAGTAGATATTTCTTTTCTGGAAAGTAACATTTAACATAAATACTCTTTGCAGTTAAACATAATTATTGAGATTTACATGCTATTATTTTAACTATCCTTATTTTTGTTGTTTGTCATCTTGGCAGAAGAAGTTGTAGACATTGAGAGATATTCTGATAAGGTCAACAAAAAAAAATTTGTATTATCGTGTTGATGCCAGTCAATGACAGATTACTACTCTGGCTTGAAACTAGAGTATTTCATTGAAGGTGTATAAATTATTATTTGTATGTCTCTTTGTTCTGCTATCAGATATAAAGATTTGGATAATAGTGTTGTTGACTTGTTAGCTCATCTTTAAGCAGCTCTCAGTTCTCAGTTTCTTATACTCTTACACTACACAGAATTGACCTTTCCTGGTTTGTTATGTACAATATGCACATAGAAAATGTGTTCAGCGCTGGTGCAATGAGAAAGGGGACATAACATGTGAGATATGCCACCAGGTATGCTAAAAGTATTCTTCTTTATACATTTCATCTGACAGATGGCTGTGAATTGGAGTATTTTGTAATTCATGCTGATTGTTTTGGTTGTGACAATTGCTCCTATAACCTTTAACCTTAAGAGTAAAAGTACAGAGTACTATGTTTAGGAGATCTTTTGGATTAAATAATGATCAATATGTCAAGATTTTGTATAGCCCCTTTTTATCGTCAAGTGCGATTTCTTGAATGTGTTTTAAGGTGGTCCATCTCAGTTATAGGATTTTGATTTTCAATTTGTGGTTTGCTTTTGTGGTGTATTCATTCTTTGGCGAGAGTTGGGAGTTTGGGATCCACAAGTTGATCATTGAAAGTGTGTTGATGTAATTTGTTGTGGTAGCTGTTTTCGAATGGCAGTTTGGTTTAGCTGTGTGTAATTCTACTTGTACAACTTCGTAGCTACTCAATGTAATATATAGTCAATATTTTCATCAATAATTATAATTAGGTTGTTTTCATACTTCACCTTGCACTGCTATCTAAAGTTGAGTTGCAAATGATGAAAGCTGGCTAGATAAAAGTCTACGTGCCTAAAACATGCCCTTATTTATACAAATTAGAGTTATATGTTGGTCAAGTAGAGAGAGTAACGGTATGATAGGCCTTTCACCCCTTGCCACCATGGTTTATCATATCTCGATATTGGATGGAGGTTTGTTCTTTCAATTCCACAATATGTTGAGAAGTTTGAACCTATGTATAAGCTTCAGTATGATTTCAATTGGCAACTTCACACACGGATGGTGATCAAGGTGACACGGCTGAATGGACTTGAAAAACTCGATGGTTACTGATGTGCTATTGATTTGTGAGTAATTCACTAGGGTGGTATTTGTAGTCATTTAGGTCAGTTTCGACCTTAAGCTAATTAATTGTTGAGAATTTTCTGGTTTTCATATACGACTTGTTCATTTCTAAGTGTGCTTAAGTAGTAATTTGAATTGTTTATTAAGTGCACAAAACTTCAGGTTCTTATTTTTCAAGCTTCGGAACTTTGGTCTACGCTTGTGACTTGTTCGCTATTCTGTGTGTTTAACGGTTTAAGGCAGCAGTTTGAATGATTTTTCTTCTAGGTATTATGCGCAGTTTAATGCAAATGCATGCTGAGAATTGATGTTTCTTGAGAACTCATCTCACCCTAGTGTCACGCATAGCTTAAACATTGATAAAAGTTATTTTCAGGCATATGAACGTGATAACTATGTACAATATTCATATAAGACCACCTACTAATTTCATGAATCATTGAAGCTGAATCTTGATGTCTTCCAAAACTGTCATTATTGCTTTTTTAGCATAGCAATCTATTTAAACTTCGCAATGAATTTTAATCAAATTTTTTATTGATTATAAATCTGTACTGTTATTTACTCTGTATTTATTATTTTCCAGCTTGTGGTATTTAGTTAATGTTTGAGCAAACTTCTATTTTTCAGGTGTTTTGGTAATTTTGGATTAACACTAAATTTCAAAGATAACTTATATCAAATTAAAAAAATTCCATTCAATGTTTTTTTTATATAAATTATAATAAAAGAAAATCATAGTCCAGGCTACTAGGGTCTTACATGATTTTAGTCTTGTCAAGTGTCAACCTTGTATTTGCAACTTGCAACAAGGTGATCAACATATTCATAATTTAACCTCATTGCTAAATGAGATGTTGTTGGAGGAAATGGATAGTCTGTGACAGCCCTAAGAGGTCTCCAGGTCCTTTCTTTGAATACTTATTGTTTAGAATTTTTAAGCTAAGTTGTTTCATGACATTGTTTGGCAGGTAATGGACATATCAGACATGATGCATGCATATTTTGCTAAGATCAATTATGGGGAGCCCGAAGCTCCCTCATCGGCCGTGTTTGATGTGAGTTAGTTTTGCTTTTGTTTAATCAGATTTCCTTCTTTTTTTTGTAAAACAATTTCATTTATTATAATCTTTTCAATGTGTAATTATTCATCATGCTGACTAGGATTCAGCTGGTCGAACAAGAGTTGAAAATACTACTGCTGCTGATCAAACAAATTTCAGTTTAAGAAGCCACCATAAAAGAAAAGGGGAGTATGTGCCTTTTTCTCTGTCTGGTGTAGTGTTTTTATTGAATACGGTTCCTTGGCTTTACATTTCCTCTTCATTTCTGTTCCTAGACTACTTTCATGCATGACCTAATAAAATTTAAAATTTTCTTTTTGGGATTTAAGAAGTTGTATAATAAGTCACTTTTTTGGGACAAATTTCTTCCACGTGTATTGTCTTTATGATCTTTATTGATTGGATTTTTTACTGAAGCAAGGACTGCAATCATCTAGGAAAGATTGATGTTACAAATGCTGACTCTCTTTGTGACAGTCATGCACTGAAAGTTATGGCAGAGTCGGTCATTTTTCGAAGTTCAGATTTGGAAGAGAATTCCTCGATGGGGGTGCACAGCATTTTCATTTGTGATTTTCCTTGAATATATTATCTTCTTACCAATTGAGACTTTGCTTACAGCTAGGAGCAAGGTATATTTTTGGACTAATTTGCTGACATTTGAGACTTTGCTTTGAATGATAAATTTGTAAAAATACTGTTACATTGGATTCTGAATAAGCTGTTTTTGGTGGGATTATAGGCTGCTTGTGGTCTGACTAACAACCCAAAGGAACAAGTAGCTGACATTGATGCATCTGATGTTGATAATGGGTTAGCTGTGGTTGAATATGTTTTAGTTTAGTCATGGTTCTTGTTGGAAGTAGCAAGGGATTGATGAATTGCTCTTGCTTTTGGTGGTAGAATGAGAGTCGGCCTTGTGACTACATGAATTCGCAACCCGAAATCAACGACAAAATGAGGGCTATCTTAGTTGATTGGTTGATTGAAGTGCACAACAGATTTGAGCTTATGCCTGAGACCCTTTATCTGACCATTAACTTGGTTGATCGGTTTCTTTCGTCGAAATCTGTCCCAAGGAGAGAATTGCAGCTTCTGGGTATTGGTGCTATGTTGATTGCCTGCTCGTATGAGGAAATCTGGGCTCCTGAGGTACTTACTGCAGAAGTTATATACTGTGCTGTTTATAGTTTTGAAACCCTGGATTAATTCTTGTAAATGTTTCAGGTTAATGACTTTGTGAGCATATCAGAAAGGGCATACAGCAATGAACAAATTCTGAAAATGGAGAAGGCCATACTAGGCCAGTTAGAATAGTACAAAAAAAAATTGCTACTGGGTTTTTGTTGTTGGCGCTCTACTGGGTTTTTATTGTTGGGATAACTTGCTAGTTGCCCCTTTATGCTGTATTTTCGTTCCTTGCTTTGATTTTTTTTGGACGAAAATTGTAATATTACAGCCTTTTTTTAATGAAAATATGTAACTTTATATATGTTAATGTTTCTATATCAATTTAAGTGAAAAAAATGCAAAAAAAAAAGAAATTTTTTATTTTTTTGGGGTATTTTTGGCACCGGTTCTGTTCCGGTTTTGAAAAGAACCGGTGCCTAAAGTGGGGGTTTTTACACCGGTTCTTGCTTTGAACCGGTGCCAATAGTATTAAAAAAAAAAAAAATTCGCGCCATGGTAGTTGGCATCGTTTAACCGGTGCCAAAGCATGTAGTTGGCACCGGTTAACCGGTGCCAAAGCATGTAGTTGGCACCGGTTAACCGGTGCCAAATGCTCTAGTTGGCACCGGTTTAGAACCGGTGCCAAATTTTCATGGATTTGGCATCCCTCAAATACCCAACGGTTCAAAACCGGTGCCAAAGGGGTGGTTTGAACCGGTGCCTTTTTATCTTTTTCGTCTAGTGTCTTGAAGAAATGGTTAATTCCATGTTATCTTACTCTGGTTTGAGTGAAGGGTTCTGGGGTGAAGCAATGTTGACTGCTTGTCACATTCTTAATCGGGTTCCCACTAAGGGAAAACAATCTACTCCTTATGAACTTTAGTACAAAAGAAAGCCAAACTTGAAGTATCTCAAGGTTTGGGGTTGTAGGGCAATCGTAAAAGTGTCTGGCAACAAGAAAAGAAAGCTCGGTGAAAGGGGCTTGGGTTGCATTTTTATAGGTTATGCTGATCATAGCAAAACCTATAGGTTCTATGTAATAGAACAAAATGACTATATATCGATTCATTCGGTTATTGAGTCAAGAGATGCAACTTTTGATGAAAACCATTTTTCATCAATGAGTAGACCTAAGGATCTACAGGTTAGTGCCAAAGGAAAGGAGATTGTTGATTGTGATGATCAACTTGAATCTCATGAATGTTCTCCTAATAATGAGGATGAGACTCCTCATGTTAGAAGAAGTAAGAGACAAGGAAAATTAGGAATCCTTTAGATGACTTCATAATATATTTGGTTGAAGGGTCTAGGGATATCCTTAGTTCCACTACTCCATATTGTTTCAATGCGGATAGTGACCCAAAGACTTATAGCAAGGCCATATCTTCCCAAGATAGTGCGTTTTGGAAGGAAGCTATAAATGATGAGATGGATTCCATCATGGGAAATAATACTTGGGTCATAGAGGATTTACCTCTCGGTTGCAAACCTCTTGGTTGCAAGTGGATTTTCACTAGGAAAAGGAGACCAGATGGTTCCATAGTGAAATTTAAAGCCAGATTGGTTATCCAAGGCTTTAGGCAAAAGCATGGTGTTGATTATTTCGATACCTATGCATCGGTTGCAAGAATTACCTCCATAAGGTTATTGATTGCAATGGCTTCGGTATATAATCTAGTGATTCATCAAATGGATGTCAAAACGACATTCCTTTATGGAGATCTAGAGGAAGAAGTGTACATGAAACAACCCGAAGGGTTTGTTTTGGAAGGACAAGAAAATAAGGTGTGTAAATTGGTTAAGTCTTTGTATGGACTTAAACAAGCACCAAAACAGTGGCATCGGAAATTTGATGACACGATTTTGTCCTTTGGATTCAAAGTGAATCAAGCTGATAAGTGTATATATAGAAAATTTGATGACAAAGGTCATGGTGTCATCATTTGTCTATATGTTGATGATATGCTTATTTTTGGTACAAGTCTACAACAAGTAGAATTGACCAAGGAATTCTTAACCTCATCTTTTCAGATGAAGGATTTGGGGGAGGCGCATGTCATTTTGGGCATCAAGATTATTAGGGACAATGGAAGACTTATTCTAAGTCAATCTCATTACATTGAGAAGATGATCAAACGGTTTAATATGTTTGATAAGTGTCCTGTAAACACCCCCATGGAACCTAATGTTAAATTAGTTAAGAATTCGGGGAAAACAATTTCCCAATTGGAATATTCAAGGATAATTGGACCCTTGATGTATGCCATGACTAGTACAAGACCGGATATTGCATTGGCTGTGGGGAAACTAAGTAGATTTACTAGTAACCCTGGTGCACAACATTGGTTTGCAGTTCAGAGGGTCTTGAGGTACCTTAAGGGTACATTAGACTATGGTCTGACTTATAGTGGATTTCCTTCGGTTTTAGAAGGATTTTCGGATGCTAGTTGGATCACTTACAAAGAGGATGAATCTTCTATAAGTGGTTGGGTATTCATGTTTGGGGGGGGGGTGCCATTTCATGGTCTTCCAAGAAACAAACTTACATTGCGGATTCCGCTATGGCAGCTGAGTTTATAGCCCTTGCCTCAGCTAGTAAGAAAGCTGAGTGGTTGAGAAATCTCATGTTAAAGTTGCCTTTATTGCCTAAGCCAATGTCACCGGTGGCAATCCATTGTGATTCAAATTCGGCTTTAATAAAGGCATATAGTCAAGTGTATAATGGTAAGTCTCGGCATATTTCACTTAGGCATAGCCTAGTGAAAGAGCTTATCAATGATGGGGTCATAAGTCTTGACTATGTTCCTACAAAATTGAATTTGGTGGATTGCTTTACTAAAGCAATGCCAAGGCATTCCATCATATTTGCTTTGAATGGAATGGGTTTATGTCCAAAAACGAATTTGTGAAACCCAATCTAACGCTTGAAGAAACATCAAGTCTTAGATTCAATGTGGTTGAATTGCATTTTTGTTGTTTGATAGCAATGTATGATGACCCATATTGCTATGTTACTTGTGATGTGTAAGGTAGCGTCTAATTAAAGTTCTCAAAGATTTAGAGTTAAGAAGCTCTAGATGAAGGTGTCTTGTCACAAGGACACCATCACGTATATGAGAACCTACCTATATAAGTTCGAAGATTAGACGCTTCAAGAAGTTTAGATGGACATATAGACTTTGATGAACTTATGAAAGATACAGACACATGGCTGTATGAAAGTGTCAAGTAATGAAAAATTCGATTTGTCTTGTGTGTACTTTACCTTCGAATGGTTGGATATATTCGTGTGATTCAATCCATATGGAAATCACATAATATGATCATCGTTAAGTGTGTTGTACTAGGTGTCAATTCAATCCGTAGGGACATTGGCATTGATGCATGAGATGTGGCTTAATTGATAGAAGTGGAGAAGGTTTTAGAAACACTCTAAATGGGGGAGATGGTTGCACGCCCGCGAACCATGAAGAGCGCCCCGCACAAGGTAGGCGCGGCCGCGCAGAGAGCGCGCCTAAACCGCGTACCTCTCTGAAAATTGTCAATTTTGAAGGATGAGGTTGGCGCAGTAGCGCATCTGGTGCGCGGCCGCGCTGCTGGTCGCGCCCAAACCGCGCCCCTCACTGCCTTTTTGTGAAATCTCGCAAATTTTGTGAGGAGCGCCCACTCCTAAATTAGGAGCGCCCGCTCCACATGGTGGCGCGCCCGCGCCTCCCTGTTTTGCGATTTTTTTTTACGGTTGAGTCTTTTGATAAAAGACTGATTTCGTGAAAGATGGATACACAGAAAAATTTATTCTTCATCTTCCCAAATAGAATTCTCCACAATTTTCTCTCAAATTTCTTGCAAACTTTTGTGAGAAAACTCTATCAATTAAGTCAATTTTGAGAATTTGATCATCTTGCTACAAATCTTAGTGCAAAGATTGTAGTGTTGTCTGTTGTATCTCAAAGTGAATTTCCAGTTTCAACCCAAGCACCGTGGTGGGGGAAATAATCACTTTAGGAAAGTGTTTACACGCCTTAGACAAGTATCCGGTATTGAAGACTCACGTGGTCCATAGTATTCTCATGTTCTTGGTGATTTTATTGGCTTGGAGTAGAGGCAAGTTTTAGTATCTTTCATATTAGTATTTTCCTTGTAATTTCTGATTACATTGTTTATTTAGTGCTTGGATTGTAATGCTTTGATTAGTATTTATTATTGTATAATTTGATTGAATTATACCCTACTTAGGTTTTGTTCCACCATTTTAAAGTAATTCTTATTGTATAGAATTGCTGAAAACCTAACACGGTCCAGGTCTGGTCCAGTTTTGGACCGGTGTACACCCCTACACGGCACACAAGCCGGAAGTATAGGCAGAAACCATAAGCTGAAACTACTGAGTCGGAGCCGGAGGAGTATCCTTAGCAGGCGGAGTTGGGGCAGAGTTCACTTGGGCTTGGTGCTCTCCTTCCTTTTCCTCCTCTGCGTCATCATCATCATCACCCTCCTCGCCGGCTGCAAGCTCCCTCTTGACCCACTCTTGGAAAGGCTTAGGTTCCGGCTCCCCTCTAGCCCTTGCTGAGAGGACAAGATTCGAGTCCCTGTAGGATAGGTCCAAGATGTTGTACTCAGCCTCTGGATACACCAGTTCCCAAGCCATCCTCATCCGGTCTTTGCAGTCCTGCTCATTCTCCTCAATGAGCCGGTTCTGCTCAGCTTCTAGAGTGGCCTTGAAGTTTCCCTGAGAGGCGGCCATCTCCTTCTGCAGACGGTCGACGTCTACTTTTAGAGTGGCATTCTCCTTCCTTGTCTCCTCCTAGGACTAGAGACCCGCCTGAGCATTTTTTAGCTCCAACTCAGCATTGTCGCGCTCCGCCTCCAGATTTGAGGCCTTTAGATTAGCCTCATTGAGGGCACCCTGGAGCTATTTGATGGAGTCCGCCTGCAATAGGAGCTAAGCTTTAGTTTCAAGATTATGAATTAACATTTGATACTGAGCAACGTTAGTGGTATCAGACGCATCTCTCTTGGCCCGTTTTACCTCTTCCTGCTTCCAAGCATACGACTTTTTTAGCACCTCTACTCGCAGCATCGTCTGTATAAATGCAAACGGTGTTAGAAAAGCATCCGACAATACACTTGAAAGAAAGTAAATAAAACTATTGTACCTCAGATAGCAGAGAGAGGATGCGGTCGACGTTAAACGTCTGTATCCCGGGGATGGCCTCCTTGTCCTCCTTGGGGACAACCTTCAGCATGGCCTTGGAGTACTGTTGTACATCCGACCATCGAGGGGATTGATCTGCACCAGAAGTTAGATATGGTGAGAAAGCAACACATTCTCCACCAACAGATCGCCGGCTGCCGAAAATCCTTCTAATTGAAGTTGGGAATGTGACTTGACCCGCATGGGCCAACCCAACTCAAAGGGAGAGTTGAAGGGGTCAACGGTACCTTAGGGATAAGGCTGAGAGTTTGAATCCCCTACAGCCGCTGCAGAATCGCTTGCAGCTTTGGGTGGCTGGCCATCCTTCGGTACCTCAGAGGCACACGACTGGGATGAAAGGTCAAACCCAAGACTAACGTTTCTAATGCTCTTCCCCCCAACAGTCAGACGGTGTTTGTCAAGTGGAAGCTTTGGGGCTGTCTGAGCAGAATCTGTTTTTCTGGACTTGTTGGAGTTGGTGACCCCAGGCCTTGGCCTGATCATCTTTGAGAGTGGCCTAGAAGCCTTGTCTCCAACCTGAAAGAGCTAGGCATTATTCATAGAGTCGGCTCATAACCGCCTATATACATTAATAAGGCAAATGGGGAAGAAGTAGGGGCAGGCGGTTTATACCTGGCCTTTAGCCGCCAGAACGACTTTCTTCTTTTCCACATTTTCCCTGCGGATGTCAGCTGCAGAACGAGCAGGCGTTTTGTTTTCTTGGAGCATCCTTCTGGCGTTTCTGCAAAAAGAACCACCTGTCAGATCATCAAGCAGGCAAAAATAAATCACAAGTTATAAACACTAAAGGCGATATGACATTGCCGAATGCATGCTATACATACGTCTGTTAAACATGGTGCTTAAACCACAGGCGGACAAGAACCCCTCGTCCTTCAAAAACTCGTGTTTGGGTACCCAGTTTTTGGGTACACTTATTAACTCCTCGGATGAGAGAGTGGTGGTTGTGAGTTCAAAAATCCTCGCTTCTATTATTTTTTTATAATCCTCATCCGGGACTTATGGAAGTTTACACTTCTGCCCTAGCAGATCCGGCTTCTTATTATAATAGCGTATTCAAACTTCTTTTGTCGTTTGGGGGCAGAAACCAGATAAAACTGGTTCTTCCAATCAGACCACTTAGACGGTTTGTCTAGGGTCATTATGTACTAGGGGTAGGTGGTTAATGTGTACCACGCCCTCCAGCCGCCTAGGCTATGGCTCAGATAATGCATATGGGCAAAGGCCTCTTAGCCGCGATGGAGACCCTGCATCTCGCAAGCGACGATGTAGCCCAGTATGTTAACCCAAGAATTTAGGGTTAACTGCCACACGCCTAGGCTGTATCCTTGCAGGATAGCCTTGATTGCGTCATGGAGGGGGAAGCGGAGACCGGCTAGGAAGGCCGCCTCATAGCAGCCGAAATAAAGGTTGGCATTTGGTTGGTCATTTCTCCAGGCAATGGTCCCCAATTTAGGCGGCACCCGGATGGCATATCCTTTGCGAATAGGACGCTTGGATTTGAAGGCCTCCAGGTGCTTCTCCATGTTCGCCCTGTCTCTGGAAGAGACATGGGTCTGGAAGGGATCCCCCTCATTATTCCATTTTAATCTTTCCTCCTCCTCACTATCCTTAATCGGTGATAGTGAGCTGCTGCCCTCTTTAGACCTAGACCTAGAGGTGGTCTCACCTCCGTCTCTTTCAGGAACAACTTCATCCGCCTCCTCAGAGCCAGACACAGAGGCGGTTTCTTCACCGTCTCCGTCCTCTAACCCAAGGATCCCGTCACTTGGAGTGTTGGGTGCACCCGAAGGGGATCTTCTTACCTCCTCAGCCTGTTCTATCTCAGGCGGCTCACTGTCTGCGCTCTCTTCCCTATACTCCGGATCTACAGCCGTCCATCTAGTCCGAGCCATAGTGTCCTGCACAGACAAGGAGACGGTCGGATTTGGAGATGAACAAGAGTGATCCAAGCACCCAGAGGCGGCACCCCTAGTCCTAGACTCAGTCGTATGGCTGCGCTCTAAACTATGTTGTGCCGTGTGTGCTGTTGGTGAATCCATTTATGGGACAAAATGTACGCAAACGAAAATATATGAAAGAGTTGAGAAGGGGATAGGCGGTACCTCAACGATGAGCTGGAAAGTAGTCAAGCGTTGACCGGCTGAACTAGCAAGCAGAAATCAGAAAATTGCTTGCAAGAGGCTTAGACGGTTGACCGGATGTACCCCCCTGGAAAATGGAGAATTGTTTGCAAACCCCACAGACAGTACTCAGAAATTTTCCTGTCTGTCAAAGGCACAAACGTTTTACCAGTTGTAAGCCCTTGGAAAGCAAGAGAATTGTCTAACAGATACTCAGACGGTTCAGGTGATCCCCCGTTTGAGGAAAATGCAGGCGATAGCCCGGTTGTATTGCTTGAAGGATACATACGCGGTTGTCAGACGTTTTCTCTCTAAAAACGGTTGATTCTTTCTAAATTTTGGAAATGACAAAAAATGGGGGGTAAAACGTCTATTTATAGGAGGGTAATTTCAGGGGTGTTCCTGTAATTCCCCCAAAAGGTGAACAGTTAAAACTGTCCACCAGTATCCCAGTGACAAGTGTCACAGGCGCCATGTGGCACGCCACGTCACACCTGTGAGGGGAAAATGCTTTGGGTAAAAAGACCCCCAAGGTCGTGTGGCCCAATAAAATGGTGACACGTGTCACCTTAAGAGCGGATCAAAATGAACCAATCCCCTATTGACACGTGGCATCCCCAATCATTGGAAAAAAGGTGGCTCTCAAGGCCCAATTCCCGGGATAGCCCACCATTCCTAGGTTTCCGTAACCTAGGATGACGACACGCATCCCAAGACCCTATAAATAGGGAGATGTTCCCACCTGGGGACACATTCAAAAAATATTCACAAAAACAGAGCAATTACTAACTGCAAATATTACTCCTGATCTCGGAATCCGAGAAGATACTTTACTTTCCGCACTTTTTACAGACTCCATACACTTCTAACTTGGTCGTCGGAGGCGGAACTCCAACCAACCGGAGTCTCCGTTGTTTTGCAAGTATAGGCGCTCGGAATCCAGTCTTGGTGTTGTAACTCTCCCGACGGACACAGAAAACCCCGAAATAGGTAGCTTTTCTTAAACGTTAAAAATAGAAGCATTTAATAGTAGCGTGTAGCGTTTGCTAATTTTTTTTATTACTTTTTCTTAACAATGTGTATGATTATTAATATATTTTAATATTGTAACCGCTAATTTTTCCGAACACTCATACTATCAACCGTTATTTAGACAGCTAACCTCTACCCACTACTAATTAACAGCTACTCGCTACTTTAACAGCTGCCCGCTACCTAACCGCTAAAGGTTACCCGCTATCGCTACTTTTGTCAAATAGGGCCTAGATAACTATATTTTGAAGTTTTTAAGTGAGGAGGGCAATGCCTTACTAAACCCAGCCCAGTTACCATATCACCCCCACCTTTTCTCCCCGCCGATCACAAACCATAATTCCTTCCTAAAAAACAATTTCTCACAAAACAAAATTCCCTCATTATTATTCTCTCTCTCCTACACCCCCTTAATCATCTTGCCGGCAACTTTCCATGGCCACCAACGCCGACGGAATCTCACCGTCGCCGGCGCTCCGACCACGACCTCAACCATTGCCGGGAACTCTCACCCGCGCTTCCCCCGTTCTCCGGGAAGATTGCTGGTCGGAAGATGCGACACACGCTCTCATCGAGGCTTGGGGCTCCCACCACCTCGCACTTAATCGCGGTAACCTCCGTCAACACCAATGGCTCGAAGTCGCCGCCGCCGTTAACTCCGCCGGTTACCGGCGCCGGCGCACCGACATCCAGTGCAAAAATCGCATCGACACGTTGAAGAAGAAGTACAAGATCGAAAAATCTAAGACTGTTGATTCTTCCGGCGGTTACGTTAGTCCATGGCCGTTTTTCTCCCGCCTCGATTTCCTCATCTCCGGCGACGGCGAAAAACCTCTCTCCTCTGGTCGGAAAATATCGCCGGATACTCCGTCGACGACGACGGCGCTGACGAAGTTTCCCGTTGCTCCGAGGTCGGCGTTGAAACGAAAGCGGCCGGTGCCTGTTGATGATTCGTTTTTCCGGCAACAGTTTGCGGCTGTTATTGCAGCAGCAGCCGAGGTGGAGGCGCATGAGTCGTCGGAGGAGAGAGAAAGAGAGTCATCGGAGCGAACCGGCACATCGAGCGATAGCGGTGGGAGAGAGAGAAGAGATAGTAGAGTAGAGGATGAAGGTTTCAACAATGGATGTAGGCAGTTGGCGGAGGCGATAATGAGGTTCGGAGAAGTGTATGAGAGAGTAGAAACAGTAAAGCAAGAGCAATTGATTGATTTAGAGAAGCATAGAATGCAATTTACTAAGGATTTGGAGTATCAGAGGATGAAATTGTTGATGGATACTCAGCTTCAGCTTGCTAGGATTAAACGGTCCAAACATTCTGATGATGCTGGTATAATTTACTTTACTGTATTTTCGAGTTCTTTATATTAGTAATCATGGCTTTTGATTATAATTAGATTAGTTGTGCTTGTTATTGAAGTTCGTAGACTTGGATTGTGCATGTTTCCAGCTTTCTAATGATTGCAATTATGATATGGTTTTGTTTGCGTGTGTTAATTAGCAAGTTTGTAATTATAAGTGGTTGGAATTTGATTAATTTGTGAAGTTTGAAGTTATGATAAGCATATAGTTTGTGGGGGATTTAGCAATTAAGCATATAGTTAATTAGCATCATGATGAATATCGCTAATTTACTGCTGGAATTAAACTGAGAACCGATTGTATTTGAATTAATTCGAAAATGGCATAGCCAAAGCAAAAGTGCACTTGGTGTCCCTTTTAATGTAGAGGGGGGGAGGGGGGGTGGAATTGTGCTGTTGTCGAGGTCTCGAGGATGAGAATCTGAAGATCATGTTTTTGTTACAACCATGAACAAGTGATGTATTTTGGCTAATGTTGCCAAAAACTGTTGAAAATACTTTTCTTAGATGGTTGATCTTTTAATGATTACTCGTGAATATGGCTATATGAGCCATTGTTAGAAGAATTAAAATTTGAAATATCTGTTAGTCTCTGTTTTATTACGTTGTTTTACTATGGGAAGAGGGGATCCAGATATTTCAATTTGGTGTAGCGATCAAATTTAGGCTTATGTTTAAACCACAATCTGTAACACAATCTAGACACGAATACAACTAATGCAATTGCATATTATGATCATATTGATCAATCCTCTTTTTTATTCTTCCTTTTCATTAGTCAGAGTCAATTATCTTCAAACAATATTATTCCAACTTTAGACAAAGTCTTCATTAAATATTCTCAACCAAAATAGCTTCAACATTCACATGACAACCAGTACAGTAGCTATAACATTTGCTCCTATATTACATTATTCCTTTGGCATGAAACCTGAAGCTATAAGGCCTACTGCATACATATAAGTCGAAAATTTCCCCAATTGTAGTTCTTTAATTTGAAGTCTAGTCTTTTTCACAAATAATGGATATTTAGAGGGGGATAAATTTGAAGTCTGGTCTTATTCACAAAAATTGAATATTAATTTCTACTTTTTAGGGAAAAGAGCTGAGCATAGGTCAGAAAGAGTTGATATGTGCATCTGTTAGCCTGCCAAGTATCCTATCTTCTGACTGCTCACCAACATGTTCAACTGCTTGCGTAGAGTTGCCATTACCTACTCCTGGTTTGGCTGTTCACAACCTGAGAGAAGAGAATATGATTTTATTAAGAGAGAAGGAGAAACTGAGGATTGCATAACTTATAACTAAGGTGTTAAGGCAAAGTTGGATTCTAAATTTGAGGAGTGAGGAAGGTTAAAGTCTTTGTGAATCCTGGGATTTTGAATTTGGCACTTGGCGTGGCTGAGAATGAGAATCCGAAATCAAATGCTTGAGAGCGACAAACAAGTTTAATATATTATTCTGTTTTCTTCGGGGTAGCTATTGGCTTCTGCATGGTATCTATGTTCTGGTAGAATTAGGTTTGTTACAGGTGTAGTGCGAATGTCCTTTCTAGTTGCTCCAGTGCTCTTATTTCAATAGGGAAGTGGTCAAAAGAACCATTTTGTCACATATTGAATTTGTCTTGTTTCCTCAATATCAGATATAATTTAATTTGTAGTTTGTACTGACTGGTTCATATATGGATGGTTTGGACTGGAAACCTTGGTTCTTGCTGTTGACTGATCTATGGACTTCTTGCTATTAATAGCAGAATGCATTATCTTGCTGAGGGAATTATGGAACAATGATATTGATGCATCTGAAGTGCACAGGTCATAAAGAATTCAAATGTGTTACCTTGGAATTTGATTGAACTAGCAAAACTACTTGGTGTCATTAGTAATTTTTTTTTTCCTTTTTTTTTTTTGGTTTATTGAAAAAGTAAGATATTGTTAACAACTCAAAACAAATACAATCAAAACTCTGCCAACTGAAGCAGACTGTACAACATCATCAAACAAAAACCAGGGGAAACAAAACCCCAGCACCAAAACTAATTACAAAACATACATTTGAACCAATTCATGTTATTCCTGCTGGTCTTAACAGGCATAACAAAACTGATTCTCTGGAAGATATCAAACATCAAATCTCTGATCAGGCCTTCAAAGGCATTTCTCCTACACCACCTTGTTTCTCTGCTGCCAAATACTGTAGATAAGACCAGCAAACCAACTCTGCGTTACTTTCCTTCTAAATCTTTCTTTAATCTGCACAATCTTAGTATTACAGTCTTCAATATGTTCAGGGTTCATCTGGAGATTAATAGCATTCTGCAACTGAGAACAGCATCTTCTGCTGTACTGACAGCTAAAGAAACTTGGCGATATTATTGCTGGTTCAATATGAAGCTTGTCTTATTGGTCTTAATGCAATGAGATAACTATAGAATGTTACAATAGCACTTTATATCATAAGGTTATTTTGCTGCATGACACGGAGAGAAAGAAAGATCCTTTTGCTTCATGTAAGTTACACAATTTGACTGAATACAACTACATACACTGAAAATCTTAGACTTAAAAATTTATGCTGTTGACTTGTCAGGGCATTGTTGAAAAAGTCCAGGTTTAGTTTTCAAATGTGCCTTGCCCTGAAACATTTTTGGGAATTTTTTATTTATAAGTTTTGTAAGCCATGCTTAATTTTGCTCCTGTCTTTACGTTGTGATTGGAAGATGCTTTTCTTATATTTACTCAGCAGTTTGGCAGAGAAAACTTGATCCAGATTCTAATGCGGGTTTCTTTTCTTGTGGCAGACAGTTACTTGTAGCTTGTGCACTAAGAAGAAAGAGAAACGATGCAAAAGTGTGTTAATACTTCATGTGTTAGGATACAATGCGAATCTTCTCAAAACTGGCAAATCCGTCTTTCTGGTTCATACTGCTGGTGATTTACAACAGAACTCAGATAAGTTTAAAGATACAAATCTAGTCTTCCGAAGACGTATAGCTGCGTAAAAAGTCCCTTTTTATTTGCTACAGTTTCTTTTTGCTTAATAGGAACAACTTGATCTCAGAAATCCATACATAGTTAGTTCTTAGTACGTTTAAGATACGCGTTGTTTGTCTTATTACTGTCTGAAATTTAGTATAACATATTTCCTTGTTTCACTTTGGTGATGACCTTCTTGTGGGTTGTTCAGATCACAAGTCACCAGACTACAAGTTTGTACAGTTAGTTTTGTTATCATATACTGAAGGCAATAGAGTTTTATCTTCAATTAGTTTGGCTTGAATTTCTTGTTAAATTTATAGTTATGCATTACATTTTTTTTAACAAATAGTTATGCATAAATTATTCTTAAATTTTGCTAAAATGCTACTTGTATAACAATTTAAGACATTTATAAATTGTAAATAATAGTTAAAAATTACAGCCTTTTCAATCAAATAGAAATATGAAGTCAATATTTAACCTACGCCATAAGAAAATATAGAAAGAGGTATGACTATCCCATGCAAGAAATTTTCACGAAATAATGAACATAATCTAGCGCAGCCTCATAATTCTCTATTTCTCATGTCTTGCAATGATGCAACTCTCATATAGGTGCATATGTGCTCATACTCTGATCTTGAGAGAAAATTAGTCCAACTTTATAAATTTTTTTTTAGTACAAAAATATTACGCTCATACTATATATTTACTCCATATATTATTACAAGCTAAGCGAGCTTATTTTTCTTTTTTTCTTTTTATTAAACACTAGTTAATGCCCGAGTTATGCTCGGCTTTTTTTTAATTAATACATAGTTGGATTATTTTTATGTATAACATAAAAAATAAAATTTGTATAATGATTTACTTAGTTGTCAATAATTGGAATTATCATATATATTTTTTTTAATTTAATAAATTCGATCAAATTGAAAACAGGATTATGTATGTGAAATTTTAAATTTTCTATCTTATCTTTAATCTTGATAAAATTATTATTTATTTTCTTATGAAAAAAAATGATTATAAAAAAAAAGGTATTTCGAGAGAAATTTTTTAATATGGTGTTAACATGTGTAATCTAAGAATTTTATTTTGAGGATTACTTTAATACTCGTATATTAGTATAGATGCTACAGTACTCCTCAACAATAAGAACAATAATGAATTTAGATGTTCCTGTCAAAAAAAAAAAAAAAATGTTTTCTCTTCGAAACATTAGCTGTCCAAACTCGGTTTAGATTGATTTGGGTCAGGACAAGTTGAAATGCCTGAAATATCAGCTGTTCAAAAAGTCTTAATTAAGTTATGGTGGAATGCCCCGTCCAAAAAAAATAAAAAAAAAGTTATGGTGGAATGCAAAATTACCTTGGTCGAGTGAATCAAGAAGAACAATATGAGTCACAAGTGATTGCGGAATAAAATGTAGCAACCTATCGTTTCCAGCTACTGCAAGTATAAAATGAAATTACTTTTTACTTTTATATATTATACATAGTAATGTCGGTTCAATTATGACATAGTCCATATTCATAACCCCTTCGCTTTTTTAATTGCATCACTTCTTCGTTTTCTCCTAGTGTTGACATATTGTTCATGTATTAGGATTTTTGCATATTAAACCATGATGATACGTAGTTACATACATAATGTTCATTCCCCAAAAGACCATAAGGTAGTATAATCAGGCAATTTTTCCGTATGCATTGGTAAACATTCAGTGCGAAGTGAGCATCATAAACATGTGTCCATAGTTCATGAAAAAGCTCAACGATTCAAATTCAACCAGAAAAAGTAAGTGCAGGGCTTCAAAATATGGAAGCAGACTAATCCTAGTGAGCCCTCAATAATAAAAGGCCCACAAATGACGATAACACTTCCCAGGTGTCCTAGAAGTGGTTTCAAATTACTCAAGAGCAAAGCAAATAGGCACTACTCTGTATCATGTATGTGGGAAACAATCAAAGTGGCAGACTAGCCGTCGTTGGTCCTTATTATTTACCAGGTTACGTAATTAAATGCCTTACAAGCCCCTCTCCAACTATTCAACGAAACTACACAAGAATAAAGCAAATGCATATGCACTAAGGGAGAAATCCCCACTTGAAAACTACTCCAGTACCTGTTTCCAAACCACTATCGCCATCAGTAAGGAGCACAGCGTCCCCATGTTTTCCAAACAGGAAGTACACGACAACATGCACTCAAGAATCTAGTTTACTTACTGCACTTACCAGAACATGAAGGCCAGTTTGACTACTTTTACCAATAACTCAACCAAGGTATCATGTAGTTTTCACCTGTGTTCTGTGCACACTATTAACAGCACCAGGTATAAACTATAAACCACAAGAAGCCATACGATCTCAGGAACACATGATACAATCAGAAAAATAAATAACAAAGCACACCATCACAACATAGCCAAGGTTAAACAAGAGAAACTAGACAGATTTTTCACAAAAATGAGGATAATTCAATATTTCAAATGCAAAGCATAAAGCAGCTACCTATACCTTAAACAAACATTCATAAAAAAAAAAAAAAAAAAAAAAAACTGCCTACCAGACCCATAATCCTAATAGCAATAGAAGCTTGTATCAAGCCCACACCTCAATCCCCCAAATTCGAATAAATATTAAACTTAAAAAAAAAAACCAACCATTAGCCTTCTCATCGATATCTAGCAGTTCGACATCACCCCCTAATCAACTCCCTTGTTCGCAATCAGACAAGAATACCAAATTCTTCAAAGGATAAGGAAGAGTTTAATAGATGTCCAGCAGATTAGCAACAGCAGGCCTGCAGCATAGTCCTTTTGAAGGCCTCCTACCCCCTGACATACGATACTAGTTGTACAAAGATTAACATAGTAGACATATTATCAGCCAAAATATTGGTACGAAATTTTTAACACTAGAAAACCTAGAAGGAAACAGGAAGCTGATGATATCAGCCAAATATCAATAGATCAACAAGAACAAAAAGGTTATTAATATCAGGACATTCATCAAAGATTATAATCACAAGCATCTGAAGGTGAAATAAAGAAATGCCATCTAACATAAGTAACTCGGAAATATTAGTACATTGTTTTTAGAAAATTTTTAAATCTAGAAAACCTAGAAGGAAACAGGAAGCTGATGATATCAGCCAAATATCAATAGATCAACAAGAACAAAAAGGTTATGCAATCTCAGGACATTCATCAAAGATTATAATCACAAGCATCTGAAGGTGAAATAAAGAAATGCCATCTAACATTAGTAACTTGGTAGAATAGCCCCTGAACAAAATAACAGTTGAATAAACTCTATACAAGTAATAGAAAACAGTTACAAGGTAACATAAAATACCAGGAAAGAAGGAAAACAACTCATCAGGCACATAATAAATTAGAAAATAACAATTTTTAATATTCCACCACACTCAAAAAGGCACAAGGTGAAATATCTAGGTCACCACAAAGTCAAACATGTGAAATAAGTATCAGGAACAAAGATCACAGAGAGTTAAGTAGTAATATAGCATATCGATGGACTATACTACGCAAAACATGCAAAAATCATATAGTAGTTCATGGCCTAAAAAAAAACTATCAACTGTAATTGGAACATGTCAGTGTGTGCGCTCGTGTACATGTTTACAGAATACCCATTGACCCACTCAAATGATTTCCACTTGATATTTTAATAGTGTAAATAGATCGTCAATGGGGGAGATTATAGAAATAGGTAGGTGATGGGCATAAGAAAATGACAAGGCAGAAAAACCAATCAAAAGATCAATACTACGGAGTAGTATTTCATCAATTATACCTACAAAATCTACATACTAGACAAAAGAACCCGACATAAATCATCTAGAATATGAAACCAAAGGCTCACTTTAACAACAAAAGAAAGCAAAGAACACGCATAACAATATCAACCATTGTATGTACACTTGGATTTGGTTCAGCTGGATACTATGTAAGGAAGGTGATTGGAGGATTACAAACAAGGCTAGTTTATCTAGAACACCTTGACAATGAAAATAAGGCTATAAGAAAAACAGGCCACCTAAGTGACATTACTAGAAACCATAAGCAGAGAAAAGCCTTACTTCTGTCGCATCCTATACCTACCAACAAAGATGAATTCCCGAGGAAAGGACACTCCAACAGCACAATATATGCTTATGACAGCAAGATGACTCATAACACCCTCCTGCAAAATGATAGCTACACAGCTCTCAGATCTATTCATGATTAACCTGATAGTTACGAAATCCGGATTCAATTTTTATACAAATACAAGACAACGTGCTGTTCCATACCCTTATTATGAACATTAAATGATGTAAATCTTTACGCATCCTCATTACCCCTATTGTCGATGACTAAAGTACCTTACCTATCCTTATAATACTTCTCTGAATCTCAAGTTTCTCAACCACACAAGTCTATACCAAAATTTATCATTGGCTGTTTATCCTAATAGTATATCTTCTCCAGGTACCACCAATACCCAGGGAATGATCAAACCTTAAAGGGTATAACTCCTGTAGAGACCTGTACTAAACTCAATGAAGCACAACAGTGGATTGAATAACATAATCTGAGCTATCATAGAACATCAAGAGTGGCGTAGAATCGGACTTATTATCAATTCATGGATCATCCAAAAGGCAGCAACATTCTCCCTTGCAGAATCCAAGCATACTACCACAAAGAATTGCTATTTGACCTGCCAATAACAGCTCAATAATTACATTAGCAATGTCATCTAAGGGGAAGAAATAATGGCATGTGATAAAATCAATGGCTTGTGTAGATTTATAAATGTCAAGTAATCAACCCCCCCCCCCCCCCCTGGAGCCTTTTTCCATCCTGCAGGAACAGCTACCTGATAGGGCATGAGAGGCTCAGAACATACCGGCAGTGAGCAGCATGGTCAACAAGAAAACTTCCACCACAGTGAGGAACTCGAGGTAATCACTTGAAAAAAAAATTAGGATATTAAGAAAATGTATAAAGGTGAAACATTATAGTTGACAAAAAAAATACAAAACAGGATCAGCAAGTCTTATCCAGGTAACATATTAGCTATCGTGACAGCAAAAATAATATCAAACAAAAATAGAAGCAGATCAATAAATGCTATGAAAGCCCAGTACAGAGAAGATCCTGCATAAGAAAACGTAAAACTAGATGAACTTCAGAGATGCTAGTATAATAGAGGCTGGAGGAGCTCAACTTGTAACCCATGTCTCTGCAAATGCCATAACAGTACAGCAATGTTAAAGAGGTGAGTCCTAAACTTCCAACAAGTCATGGCAATAGGTAAGAAATCAGGTTTACAAGAGCTCCAAGAAACATGATGCCTGTCAAGAATATTACAACAATAACAATGACGAAGGTTAGCAAACAAAAATATGGAAACAAGCCGAAAAGTACAGCAGCATGGACATATTTAATGAAAAATATTACCCATCAAGTTAATATGTTTCTACTACAAAAGAAGCGTCATAAATCTACCAGAAGAAGAAATGGACAGCAGTAAGACAACAGAAGCTGAGAACTGCACACCAAACTTCATAACGAACAACAGTGAAGAATTGACAAGGATAAGATGTCAAAAAGACAGGGGATGCAACGTACTACGCCCTCAAGGTTAGACTAACAGCTCAAACAAAGCAAGAAAACACAACAATAGAAGACAAGTTAATTGATAGATTGAAGTTAATGTGTTACAAATGATCGAATACAGATTTTCTTACACATACTACTCTACTCCTATTTATACTACTTTGCTTAGCTAATTAGAATCTTTACTACTACTTGTCAAAGATTAATGCCTTACAGACATCAATGCTTTCTGAATTTCAGCAACTTGAATAGCATAATCTTCTTCATAATGTGTAAAGCTATATAACCCTACAATATGCCCATTGCTATTCAAAAAAGGGGCCCCGGTACCACCAAATCTACCCCCACCGTGAAGATTTTTAGCTTGAATCAATCTCAATGAAGCACTAAGCCCTCTGAAATCATCAACAAAGAGTGGATTTGATTCTCTTGGAAAATCCGGCGAAACACCTAGCTGCAACTCATGATAAATGTTTCCGCATGTTCTTTCCACACAAGAGATATTACCGACATTGTAAGAAAAAGCTAGGCGTCCTGGATGACCAATGAAGTGAGTCTCTGAAGCCTTAAATCCATAATCATATCATTCTCTTCAAGAAGTTGAGCACACTGAAAACCGCCTTCAAGTTTGTTTACAACATCCAAAATTGCCAAATCACTTTTTCTATCAAAACAATCGATCCGCAATTTTTTTTTTCCGTGTGCAACATGAGCACATGTCAATATCATTTGTTTAGAACGAACCTCTGCAAAAACTCCTCCACCATAAAGTTCTCTCTCATTTCGAATACAAACTATACATCTACGCATTCTTTCATATAGATGATTTCTCTCTTCTGCGGTTAATATCTTCAATGCCATATTAACAATCAAATACCTAAAACGGAGAAGTGAAATCACTGTCAAAAAAAATTACAAGGGCATAATAACAAATTTGCATATAACAATTCTAAGAATGTATCATTACTAAAAACTAGTACAAAAAACAATAATATCATCTGAGGAATTGTTAGATTAGAATCACTTCTCTCATGACAGATTGATCTTTTATACTTAACCATCCAATCTTTATCCCGCAATACATCTATCGCTACCAAATTGGTCATGGATATCTTGTATTGAAATATTTGAATACTTTATTTCAGAATACAACTCAAAGATTTGAGCACACTAAAATTCAATCACTTGATATCCAAAAGAAATCGGCTCTAGATTTTGATAATTCTGTTTTGATTGAAAATGAGAAGAAGATGCTTCAGAACTTGAAAACTGGAGTAAATTAGAGAAGAAGACGTGGCAACAAATAGCTAATACAACAGACTTTATCAGAACAAAATGTTTAAGTTTCACCCAAAGTGTAAAAAGCTCAATACAACCCATGTTTGGTTTGCTGATGATTTGATACTCTTTTTGGGGTGATATTGGGTTTGTGAGGCAGTGATTTGACAGGAAATTTCTCCAAATTGAGTCTATTCTTACAAGAATTTTGCAAATTGGTTGCGTGACAAAACTATTTACCAAATAAGCTTCCAGGCAAAAACGCCGTCTCGGACAGCGTTTTATGCCCTGGTTTTTTTTTTAAAAAAAAAATTCAATTTGTAAAACGTTGTCTGGGACAGCGTTTTACCTATTGACTATTTTTTAAAAAAAAAATTCGTAACTTGTTATGCTGGAAATGTGAAATAAAAAAAAATTTAAATAAGGTAAAACGCTGACTGTTTTACCTGTTTAATGAAACGCTGCCTCAGTCAGCGTTTTTATCGTTGAACAGAGGCAACGTCTTCTTCCTCTCATTCCCCGCTTCTTCCTCACATTCCCTCATTCCAATCCCCTAACCCAATCTCTCTCTCACTCAAGCTCTGTCACGCAACCCAAATCCCCCCTCCCCCACCATCGTCTCATGCCGACCACCGCTAGCCAACGACGCAGCTCTCTTCACTTCCTTGTCGAATTAGGTACTTGCCCCCTCTCTCTTAGGTTTTTAAAATCTAGAGTTTTTATAATGGTTGATATTTTTTGTGAATGTTAGTGTTGATGATGTTGAATTGTTAGTGTTGATAAAGTTGAATTGTTATTGTTGATTATGTTGAATTGTTATTGTTGATTATGTTGAATTGTTTTTGGAATTGTGGTTAAAATCTTAATAATGTTGAATTGTTAGTGTTGATAATGTTGAATTGTTAGTGTTGATAATGTTGAATTGTTATTGTTGATTATGTTGAATTGTTAGCGTTGAAAATTGTTGGTATTGTTGAATTGTTAGTGTAGAAAATTGTTGGAAATGTTGAATTGTTAGTGTAGATAATTGTTGATAATTGTTGATAGTGGTTGATAATTGTTGATTTTTGAGTGATTGTGATAACCTACATTGTTGTTTATTAATGTTGATTTAGTGCTTCTAAGTTGTGTTAATTTGTAAAGTATGTACATTGTTGTTTAATTATGGTGATTTAGGGATGATTTAGTGCCTTTAAGTGTAATGTGTTTTGGTTGTTATGTAGAATATGGCTGCACAAAATGTAGTTTTGTTATGACGGTGGGGAGGTGAAATTTTGTTCGATGGACCCCGTGTCGAGTATAGTGGAGGAAATATGGAACCACTAACACTTGAACCGAACATGACTTTCAATGATTTGATGAACGAGGTTCATAGTAGTATTGGTTCAAACCCAAGGAATGTTGAACTAAACATTAAAATGAGGTTTGAGACTGGCAATGGGGTTCAAGTGTTACCTGTTTCTACGAATAAACATTTGAAAGCTTTGAGGAGCGTTGTTGCAATGAAGGGTGTTCCCACTGAGATATATGTAGAAATTGTGCCTATATGTAACCAACAAAGTACTCGGCCTGAACAACAATCTACATATATTTCCGATTACAACACAGAGCCCTTCCAAGTGCCCTCACACGACATTCCATCAACTGAATATGGGATGGGATCTTTCAGTCAAATGCTGCACGACGATCAATTTCACATGCCGTTTAGTTCTCATATAGCTTCACCTGTATATGGGGGGGCATATGTGGCAATGACCGGCCAACTTGGGCCTTCGACATCAAACACCGTCACACCTTCACCGACGCAATTGCATAGTTATTCGCCTATGCAAGATGATGTTCAAGCATCGCCGTCTCAACTTGTGCCAAATCATCTTGAAACTATTGTGAATAACGAATTGTCTGTGTATGATGTATATACAAATGATGAGGCCGAGAGCGGAGAGGAGGAAGATGGACTTCAGAACATGGATGTTGAACCTGCACACATGGAAGTTGGCGAGCCCCTGGTTAGAACTCTCGTACCTTGGTTCAGTTAGGTAAACGAGAACTATGAAGTTGATCAGTATTGGGCCGAATCGGGTAGCCATACATCGTTTGTTCCCGAGGGAGAATTTGAGAAGGGGATGTATTTTGAAAGTAAGAAAATGCTTCAAGAAATGGTGAAGATGTATTCTATTCAGAGGAATCAATTCTACACCACAGTGACATCGAATGAGAGTGTCCTTCATTTGCGATGCAAGAAGAAATGTGGTTGGATGCTACGGGGTACCAAATCAAGTGAGCACTCGTGTGGCTTTACCCTAGTCACGTACAAAGGCCCACACCGGGAGAACTGTGTCACTGAAGTACTATCTACTGATCACCCACACTTGGATTCGTCCATAATATCAGAGTATGTGAAGTCCTTTGTGCGGAAAGATCCGTCCTTGAAAGTTGAATTCATACAGGAACTCATCTCCAAGCAATTTCATTTTGATGTTCCGTATCAAAGAGCATGGTATGCCAAGGAGAAAGCTATAGTTGAAATATTTGGGGATTGGGAGAGTTCTTACGGCAGACTTCCGCACTTTATGTAAGCACTCCAACAGTCAAACCCGGGATCACGTGTCGTATGGAAACACAAAGCTCAGATGGACGATGTATACTACAGCAACATGGAAGTGTTTGAATGAGTGTTTTGGGCCTTCGGTCCTTGTATCTACGGTTTTAAACATTGTATGCCTGTTATCTGTATCGATGTGACGCACTTGTACGGAAAGTATAAAGGAACATTGTTGGTTGCTACAAGTGTGGATGCAAGCTTCCAAGTATTTCCGCTAGCATTTGCGGTGGTTGAAGGGGAAAACACTTCCAGATGGTCTTGGTTCCTGGGTTACATTCGGGTTCATGTCACGCAACGAGATGGCCTCTGTGTTATATCTGATCGACATCCTGGGATCATTGCAGCAATGATGATCCTAACGTTGGATTCACCGAGCCGCGAGCCTATCACAGGTTTTGTGTTCGCCACATAGCTTCTAACTTGAAGACTCACGTGCAAAGCAACGACATGAGAGATATGTTCAAGGCTGCGGCGTACCAAAGGCAAGAAAACTTCAAGCTGATCTGTGTTTCATCGGTGAGGCATGTACCAAGGCCATGGAGTATATTGGTCAAGTCTCGTTCACTATGTGGTCTCTCTTTCACGACGCTGGTCGCAGATATGGGATATGTACTACAAACTTCTCTGAAACATTTAGCAATGTGTTGAAGGGAGCTCAGTTTCTACCGATCATGTCCCTTGTCGAGTTAACTTTCCACAGAGTTAACAAGTATTTCACTTTAAGAAGGGAGTCATTTGAGGCTAGGTCTGAACAGGGACTTGCATACCCCCCCAAGGTCACTGCCATTCTGGAGAAGAACAGCGCAAAAGCCAGATATCATAGAGTGGATGCGTATAACCGCCGATTGCATATTTACCAAGTTACAACAGAAAGGGGAGAGCGACTTGGTAGTAAAGGAGGCTATAAACATACTGTTAACTTTCAGTTGAGAACGGGTACATGCAACAAACCAAAGATATTCCACCTCCCATGTTCTCATGTTCTAGTAGTATGTGCGACGTATTCACTATCAGAGCGGCCGTGGGTGGACCCTGTGCTGCAATTGGAGGCCTACACGAACACCTATGCACCACAATTCTGGCCTATCCCTTGCGAGAAAACCTGGACGCAGTACGTCGACCCTAAACTCATTCCGGACGGCAGCATGGTACGTGGAAAAGGGAAGCCAAGGTCAAAGCGCATACGCAATGAAATTGATGAGACTAACCGGCCCCCGAGCAAATGCAACCGCTGTCACCAGCAGGGTCACAACCGGACAACGTGTCCATCTAGACCGACATTGGACCTAAGTTTGTATTTGTTATTTGTTGTAGTAATAGAAAGTAGAATTATTTTGTATCAGATTTTCTAAAGTTTGTAACATTAGTAACATTTAGATCATTTCTATTTTCTACTTTGGATGTCGTTTGAAATTTTTTGTCTTTGCCTTTAAATCGTCCAGCTTATGTTTAATTATTAATCCAGTAATTGTGTTGGTATTTGGTATATAACGTTTTTAATGAACATATATCATGGACGGAGAAGATAGGACACCCGGACCTGTTAACTCTTCTGCCCTGACACTACAGGACAGACATCGAAGCGTTAACATATGGGACCAGACGGTAATATTTCATCCGTTATTTCATGTACTTTTTTTTGATACATTGATGTACTATCTAATATTAATTACGATCGTACAATGTTTTTTTCAGGTTGATGTAGCAAAGATGCTTGTTGCAGGCACTACACTACCAGGGTTATGGGCGACTAGGTTGTCGATCCACGCATTATTGCGTACGTCGAGTACGCTGGCTTTGGTGGTATTCATTGGATGGCGTTCAGAGAGATCGATCGAGCGCTTGTCACTGCGCTAGTGGAGAGATGGAGACAAGAGACACATTCTTTCCATCTACCTGTTGGGGAGGCGACCGTTACGTTGCGGGACGTCGCGATACTCACGCGCCTTCCTATACGTGGGACTGCGGTGACAGGACATGCGTTAGTCGATCCCGTTGTTTTAGTAGCCCGGGTTCTCGGGGTTCAGCCGGGTCCCAACGAGATTAGGGGCTCCGGGTTGAGGACCGGCTAGATACGCGATACGTTTCGTGCGCTGCCTGCGGATGCTGATGACGCCACAGTTCAGAGACACGCTCGAGCATACTTGTTCCTGCTCATATCGGGCGTGTTGTTCGGCAACAAGAGCGGGAGCCATATCCAGCGTATTTACCTACAGCTGTTATACCACGACTGGGATCATATTCGTGGATACAGCTGAGGTAGTGCTTGTTTGGCGACGTTATATCGCCACCTATGTAGAGCCTCCCACCGTGGTTCAGTCGATATCGGAGGAACTCTGATTGTGCTTCAGGTAATCCACCTAATTATCCACAAGCTAGTTTGGCAATGACTTACGTTATACTTAACATAGTTTTGTATTTTGGTATTATAGTTATGGGCTTGGGAGCATATCCATGTAGGCAGACCAGTTAGGCCTGCTGTACATTATCGGGGGAAGTAGGACCGGGACGAGCAGTGCCAGGCGTACATCGCTCCACCGCTCCCTACACCTAATGAGGCGTACAGTTGCAGGTTTGTAACATTTGTCATTCTTTTTTTCCCCCATACGGTTTCATTTTGCTGGATGACAAACTAAAACAATTTGTTGCCATAGGTGGGTGGTCCCTAGATTCACACATGCGCATGCGGCGAGGGGTCTTCCGTACTACCGAGACGCCCTTGACCGACTCACCGAGGATCAGGTGGTAACTTAAAAGATATTTGTAAACATTTATGTACTATGTATACTGTCTGTGGACTAACCTATTCATGATATTACTATTGCTGTGTTATTGCAGATGACATGGGATCCGTATGTACCTAACTTGGTAGATGCCATGCCTGCACATCTGCTGGATCATCAGGCAGAGTGGCGTGCCAGGGTCCCCCTGATCTGTTTCGAGGTTGTGGAGAGTCACCTACCCAACCGAGTCATGCGACGGTTTAGACTATGCCAGCCTATCCCCCAGCAGTCTGACACTAGTGTACGCCTTCACGACATTGACCGTCGGGGAAAGGGGGAGACAAACTGGTCACTGGAGCATTGACATTTCCTTGAGCTATGGCAGCAACGGTTGGAGTTCGTCGTTGGAGGTGATCTGATGCAGGGCGTTATGGATCCTCACGATTCGTACATGGTGTGGTACAGGCGTATTACACGACGTTTCATCAATCCCAGCTACACACCACTATCCACACATTACCATCTAGCATATGACTTCATTAGCGGATATGTGAGTTTCTTTTATTCTACTTATTGTCCTCAATTTTTAAATTTCTATATCATACAACTGACTGATCGATGATTACTGCAGGTGGCGGATATGGTGGCGATGGTTGATGCACTATCAGTCGCCCTTGTAGATGGACCTACCAGAGCCCAAGTCGAGCGGGTGCGAGATATGGGCGTCGCTACCTTACAGAGATATGGTCACGACTATCTCGTCCACCAGCGGGACAGTCATGATGGCCACTCCGTCCATTCACAGTTCGAGCTCGGCCAAAGCAGCGATGGAGGTGATCCTACGTCACCTAGAGACGCAGAGGATTACATCATCCACAGTACTGCGCCCACCGGTACCCAGGAGGACCCATCGTCTAGCCAGCGGACTCCCCCACCGCCCCAAGACCCATTCACCACCATTACTCATTACAGGCGGCGTCGTGTCAGACGGAGGGATGATAGACAGGATAGAGAACCGTTACCCCGAATAAATGAGTCGGGATAGTATTATCTGATTTATTTGCTGTAGCAGGATATTCTAGAACGATGTATATAACACTTACATTATTAACATAATAAATGTTTTTTGAATGAATCTGTGTGCGGTTTGAAGTTTAATTTCCTTATTTGTCCAAATCGGACTTGTTTCGAGAGTTACAATTTCGGGACTGGGATCCTTGCGCTTGTACCTGCAAAACAACGGAGACTCCGAGTGGTGGGAGCTCCGCCTCCGACGATCTAGTTAGAATGTGTTTGAGAGTAAAAAGTGCGCAAAGTAAAGGTGATCTGGTTCCTCTAAGGGGAGGAGCAATCAGGGTGTGCAATTAATGCTAAGTCTGGTCTAGCAAGTAGTATGCACGAGGGTTTAGGCTTCTCTTGGTGAGATGATTAATTAATTCTGAATATCTTTAATGAAGACTAATTACTGTATTTATAGCCTCGAAGTACGTGCCCAATACTAGGTTAAATGGTAAACCTAGGACTGATTGGGCTTGCCTCGGGATTCAGGCCTTGTTGACCGTTCTCCAGGTAGGCAATCTAGGTGCCACGTGGCGTAGCATGGTTGGTCCATGTTGGACCTCCTGGAGTATGACACGTGGCAGCCCCTGATTGGCCCACGTGGTTGACACGTGGCAGGTGCTGATTGGTCCACGTGGCGGGGAAAAATCCCCTAAACAGGATTTATGTCAGTCTAGATCCTTCTAGGCCGATATATATCAAACACAAGACATTTAGGCTCCATAATGAGAAACGCGTAGAAGCGATGGCCCGTGGTGGTTAATGTGGTGGTTCATGGTGGTTGTAGTGCTGTTGGTGGTGGTTGACGGTGGTGGTAAGGTTGGGGCTGGTGGTGGAGGTGGTTGTAGTGTTGTTGGGGGTGGTTGGAGTGTTTTGAAGTGCATAAGGGTGGTTGAAAGTGGTGGGAGGTGGTGGTTAATGGTGGTCGACGGTAGGGGTTGGTGGTGGGGGTGGTGGTTGAGGGTGGTGGCTTATTGATGGCTGGGGGTGGTGTGTTGGGGGCAGAAATAGGGCAGAAATTAGAGAAGAAAGCCTGCTGGCTGCTGGTATTGCAGTCTAGTAGAAAAACGTTATATGAGACAGCGTTTTATGTAGAACAAAAAATTTTGTACGTAAAACGCTGTCCCAGACAGCGTTTTACAAATTGATTTTTTTTTTTTAAAACCAGGGCATAAAACGCTGTCCGAGACAACGTTTTACCCTGAAAGCTTAGTTTGGTAAATAGTTTTGCCACGCAACCAATTTGCAAAATACTTTTAGAAATAAGCTCACTTTGGGGAAAAATCCGATTTGATAACTAATTTTGGTAAAGAGTATATTGTGGAGTTAGTACTAACGTTCAAGTTGCAACTCTGGAGAAATGGTGAATTTGTCCTAAGGGGAAGTATTCTTTTAAGTACTTGGGTGTCATGTTTACCAAAAATTTGACTGCAATATAGTGCAACCTTCGGCTATTTCATCAAATGCCACTGAGCAATTGTAAAATTCACCAAATGCCATGAAGGTTTGGACCCACCACTTGCCACGTGTCACCTTCAGATTGGTTTGTTTTTTTAAAAAATAATAAAAATTTTAAAAAATTAAAAATAACCAAAAATAATTAAAAAATAAATAAAAAATAAAAAAAAAACCAAAATCGGCAGCCAGAAGCCCAGCCACCGAACCTCGATTCCTTGTCGCTGGCGATCTGCTCCCTCACTGGCAGGCGCGCCGGCGGCCGCCAACCCCCCCTCCCATTCCCTCCCCTTTCCTCGTCGCGACCCACCTACCCTTTAAACTCAAAACCCCACTCTTCAACGGTCGCTGTTTGATGTACGGCCAGCCACTATTCTTGTAGGATTCCGGCGTGGGTGGGTCGGAATTCCTTCAGAACTCACGACTTGGTCTCACCTCGTCACGGGTCGCAAACCAGTGGAAATCGAAGTATAGCTTAGCGCCGATGTTAACCCCTGAGAACCCTAGGCCTGGACTGACCTCGCACTTCTTCGTTCTCTTGAAGGAACGCAGGTAACGACCTTTGGTGGCCTTCCCTAGGTCGTTCGGAATGGTGATCAGGAAGCCACCATTGGAAGAACAGTGGCTGAGGCCGTCGGAATGGTGATGGCAGAGGCTCAAAGGAGGAGGGTGGGGTTTCGGGTTTTGGGTTTGAAGGGTGGGTGGGTCGCGAGGGGGAAAGAAGAGGGGAAGGGGAGGGGGCCGGCAGCTGCCGACGCGCCTGCCGTTGCAGGTTCCGGCGACTGGCTGGGGTTTGGCCGGTGAGGGTGGTAGAAGGGGTGGTGGGTGGGGATTTGGTGGTTTTTTTAATTATTATTTTTTTTTTTAATTTTTTTTAAATATTTTTGGGTTTTTTTTTTAATTTTTGTTTATTTATTTTTTTTAAAAACGGACCAATCATAAGGTGACACGTGGCAAATGATGGGGTCAATTAACGGCCGCCAGTCATTAATGACACTCGCTGATTTTTTTTAAAACTCGGTGGCATTTAGTGAATTTTAAAAACCTTCGTGGCATTTGGTGAATTTTGCAATTGCTCAATGACATTTGGTAAAATAGCCGCGAATTTTATTATTTTGCTTGGTCACGTGACCCACCATGACCTAAGGTTGGTCCGCCACTGCTACTCTAACAGACTAACACCCTTTTTCTCATTCTCAAACCAAAAAAACACACCCTTCTTTCTCCTGGGTTTAAAAAAAACGCTCTTACACACCCTTCTTTCTCCTGTGTTTAAAAAAAACGCTCTTTCTCCTCTCTCTTCACCAAGCCACCACAGCGTTCTAATCTTCATAAATTTACTCTTCAATCTTTATAGAGTAATAAAAATTTATCATGTAGTTGGAACTCTCGAAATTGGCAAAAACAAGTGGCTGAAAAAATTGAAAGATCGACTAATATTATTTATTTTGGGGTTTTTACAAGCTTAAATTCCATGGAAAGCAGTCGTCAGCATTTGAAGCGCAAATTTTGGGACACTCCAAAGCCGTTGTTCAATCCATGGAGGAGAGTACTGCGCCCCTGCCGCCCACGACATGGTTTATCTCCTTCCTCAATTTTTATTTATTTATTTTTTTATAAGTTTTTGATTCAATTTGGTTTTGTTATGATTTTTAAAATTATACTTGTATATATTTATTGCTTTCATGGAATAATTATAGCGTATTTTTGTTTGCTGGTTATTTTTCGCTTTACCTTTTGTGAATTTTTATGATCATACTGTAATAATATTAGTAGAAGTAGACTAGTAGTAGTAAGAATGCATCTTATTGTTTCTTTGCAAAACTTTTGACCCATGGTCAGTTTTACTAATTTGCTAGTATGGGAATCGGTATGGGTTCACAATTCGCTACCTAATACTACATCCGTTAATTATTATGGAGTATTATTTGTGCGATATAACAAATTCCAAAGTTACACACTTGTACATAGAGGTAGTATGTTGGATTGGGCTATTAATTTGCTAGAAAAGTTCAGTTGGTGAATGTGGTGATTTGTGGGGGTAGGGGTATAATCTAGCCACATCACAAACTTCAAGGTTTTTGCCATTGGAAATACCTGTGAAAGTGGTTCCATAATTGATACCACCATTGTGACAAGCTGACATCATCCAAAAATCCAAAATTTAAAACCATGCCGACATTGAAATTTTCTACGGATGAAAAGACTAAGGATCTTTTGCTCTTATTTTCGGCTACTTGTAGCTGTTAAGTTTTCTCAAGTTTTAAAAGTTTTATGGTATTCAGATTATTGTATTGTTTTTATTTAATTTTTTAATTTGCAGGCATACACTTTGAAAAGGCAAATCAGTTTGGAAATTTGATGAATATGTTGAGAACAACATGCACTTGGATTGTAAAACAAAGCGTGCTGCTTTGGTGGCATCTCCATTTGTTGTTTGCCTCACATGGTATTACATATTTTACAATCATTGAAATCTCTCATCTATCCCATTTGATATTTCAATAGTTTTACTTTTTGAATGTAACATTGTTACCTTTTCCTAATTACATGTTTGCGAATCATTATTTTGTAAACAATTCTTTCAATGTTGAGAACCTTTTTAATTTATTAGAATGTATATATATTATGAGTTGGTGTTGCTCATGCTTTGTTCCATAATAATGTGGAAAGAACCAATTTTAAAGTTTTTAAATACTTAATTTTCAAACTTTGGATATTAGTGTATTCTTCTACTTTTTATAATGAACCTGCTTGTTTAAACTTATGTTGCTTCCAGATGCCCAACGGCTATTTATATGTTCGGGGACTATAGTGCACTCCTATGGTGTAGATGGTGAATACTTTAGTACAGTTTTGACTTCTGCTACCCTTATTAGATGTCCTAAAAAAGAAGATGCTATTGCTGATGATATAAAGGTTTGATACTCCCTCCAATAAAACATGACACTTGCATCATCTATTTCCCTCAAATAAAAGATTTCAAAATTTATTTGCCAAAATGTCATTTATTACATACACTTTTTCCACCGCAGCTTCTATCTCTAACTCAATTGTGTCATTCTAATCTCTATATGGAATAAGAACAAGCATGCTTGGTCACCCTCACATATATGATAGAATCTATCTCTTTCCTAATTTGTATGTGAAGGTAAAAGCACTATGTGGTTTAAGCTTGTTTGATATGACTGTGTACAAATTAGGTTTAAAGTTTTAATGATGCTTCCATCTGCTAGTTTTTTTTTTAAGATTTGCTTATGTTAAAGTTTATACACCAATTTCAAAGTAATATTTTGATCAATTTTGTTTTAGGTAAAATAGTTCCATGTATGATCAATATGTTAGTGTGTAGTGTACCCATCATGGAAGTCAGAAATTTGACACTGTTTTTTTTTTTTTCCCTTAATAATGTAAATATAGGTCAAATATATATATATATATATATATATATATATATATATATATATATATATATATATATATATATATATATATATATATATATATATATATGTCAGTAGATACCACCATGTTAACTCGAGTGAACTAAATAACAAGAGTGCATTTTCTTCACTTTAAAAAGAATCAGTTTCAAGTCATGTAAGTTCGTATAAATTCAAAATCTTCAAATAAGTTTAGTCCAGTCCAATAAATTCCAGTTTTAAGCCTCTTTGACTGCAAAGCTCCATTTGGTTTTGGCAAAAAATAGTTTCAAACTTTCAATGATAAATGCTTTTTCATGGAAAACGTTTTCTCTAGGAAATACACCAATTCCGTACTAGTTTTCCTTTTTTTTTTTTTTTTTTTTTTTCGTACAAGAAATGGAATATGGGAGTGAAAGGGTAAGGATGGATGGGAGGAAAGAAATATGTTAGTAAGAAGAAAGTTGGAAATTGGCTTCTCTCCCTTTTAGAAGGAACATGTTCTCCATGCTTGAAAATGTTATTTCCACCATTGGTTAAACTTCACCCCTTTGTAAACCAAACAAAGGTAAAGATGTGAACTGGAAAATATATTATACCCACCCAAACACTCCTCAATAGTAAAAATGAGTTAAGTGGGAAGTTATAAAACATATAGCCCAGTAAACAGCTTTACTTTATTTCCAAAGCTTTTTCCCTCTTTCCACCCTTATGCCTTTCCTCAAATCTGGTATTTAGTTGGCAACTGAATAACTTTGCTCGATTTGTTGTATGACCTGTTGAACCGGGTTGCTAGTTTCAGCAAAGTGGGTCTTGTTTACCTGCGTGATCTGGTACACACAAACCTAGTTCGTGTAACCTTATGATATGTAAGGTAGTAATTATTTTTTCGACATGTTTATGGCTATGTTATATTTTTGTTTAACTGTGGGAATATTGAGTAATAATTGTTTATGTTATCATTTGAGTTATTTTGCTTTTATTCTTATTTGTATTCAGATGCATACTTGCATAGCCTTTGAACTGATATACTGGACTATTATCATTACAGGTGAATGTCCGTTTGTTTGATCGTAGTCTTTGTGAGGGTGAAATACTAGTTTATGACTTCCATTATAATGTTGCAGCTATACGAATCAAGTCTGATGTTAGATTGCAAACAGCTGTTATTGGAAATCTTGACGATTATACCGAGTGTCATGTTCGCTTTAGTCATTCACCGCCATTTAAGCTTGTCCCTCATCGTGATGCTACAACAAGCTCAGAACTCATTAAGCTCTGTCCGGGGATGGCAGTAATTGCATTGGGTCGATATAATGACGACCCATACCACATTATGGCAGCACCTGGCAAGCTTATGTAAATTACTCTTTCTCTGTCTCATACTCCATTCGTTTTCCTGAGTTCCTCATATTTTAGCGATATAACCAAGGAAAAGTGAAAATGGGGACCCATGCATGTGGGTACTTTTACTTTAAAGAGGAGAGTGATAGAGAATTGGTAACTGAAAGTGGGGTAGTAGATGTTAAAAAACGAATAAAAGGTTGCCATAATAGGAGTAAAGTAAAAAAGTGAGTAAAAATTAAGAATACAGATGAAAGTGGAAAGTGAGTAGAACTTAGGAAAATCGAGGTAGTAATTTAATAACCTTTAGGCCTTGTTAAATATTGACTATTCCTTTCCCAGGGAGTGAATTTGTGTTATATAGGATGCATTTTTTCTCATTTTAACCATATTTTTTTTTTATTCTACCAATTATGTACTTTTTAACATACCCGTGATCATGCGTAACAGTGTAACGCGTGATCTTTTGGCTATGTGCATGAATAACTATCATCTTATTTAGGTTATGTAGCCTTTTTTAATTAATTGTGGCCATCCTGTTTGGTCCAGTTTGAAGGATTGTGGATTAGATTGTGGAGAGCTTGTCATGGCGGATAGTGAAATCACCAAGGTAACAACATTCTTTCCTCATCCTATGTTTTGCTTCTTATGTAGATATCGACATTAAGTTACATGTTATTACTCGTATTGATTATCTTATGTGCCTTTTATTGTAGTTTTTCTTCATATTGTTAAAAATACTATTGCATTTTTCTAGCCACTATTTGATGACTACACGGAATAATCACTTTTGGTTCATGTAGCCGACCCCACTTATGGGATTAAGGCTTTGATTGATTGATTGATAGCCACTATTTTCTAAAAAAATTGAGCTAGGAAACCGTGCAAGGACACCAAACATCCCCTGACATTAGCATTAGCTTTGATCAAGGACAAAAAAAAATAATCTGAATCATCAGTATAAATTTTTAATTTAAAAGCAATGCAAAGAGAAACACTTACTAGTAGCATCAACCTAATCCAGCAAACGAACATATACATTGCATAAGTTTGAGAATTTTACAAGATTTTTTTACTGGCTACTTTAGCAAGAATATCTAGGGTATCAGTGTAAGTGTAGACCGAAGGGGTATTCTGAAATCTGAACAAAATGAATGTGCTAGAGCAAGGTTTATATTTATAGAACACCGTCAATTTTTTTATATATATGTTGACACATTACTTTTTCCAGAATGGTATTGGAGGACCACTGATTAATTACAGTGGACGTCATTGGACTAAACTTGTACCAGGCAGCGTATACTCCTTTTTTACCTATCAATAAAGCCTTAAAATGCTTGGAGCACTTGCTGAAATATAGGTATGGCCCAAATCTGGTTGTTGCAAACTTGTCTTGTTAATAATTTAACTGTTGTATACTTCCTCCATTCATAAATTGTTGCACTACTTTTAAATGGTACAATTTTTTAAGAAGAGATGAAGAAGTGTGGGAGGCTTATAATTTTCCAATTAATTGCACATGATAACCCACTCCACTTTACTCTTCCCACACAAGATACCCAACTGTATCAATGTTGTACCATTTTCTAGATTTCCTCACTTCTCAAACTCCCTCCCGTACCATGTAACCAGTGGACAACCACAACCACTCTCTCTTCTCGCAAACTCCATTTCCAACCACGATTGATTCTCTATTATTCCTTCCTCAATGTCTAGGATTTCCTGGGATCAATGGTAGTGACTTAGCTCCATCTTCAGAGCTACTAGGGGAGAATTTAGGGTATGGGACTAGTGGTGGTGGACCTAGGGGTGTTCAAAAATGGACCTAGGTCGGAAACCGGACTGGAAAATAAACTAAACCGGAACCAAATATGAAGAAGATATGTCTATTACATAATTCATAGTTTCCATATTTTAAATCCATAGTATTGTTATTTGACTTGGAGTTTGCATGAAACCCTTTATAAAGATATCTCTATTACAGAATTTGAATTGCTTATAACTGCAATTCCAATGAGTCAGGGCTATGTTTTGATCTGTGCAAGGTAAAACAGATTCAATTGGCTATGGACTACAAATTCCACAATTTGATGTATTGTCAAGTGATGATATTATACTATCTGTGATGTGAGTTCAATTGATTTTGGTGGGTGGCTTATTGATGCTGCCTTTGATAGGATGCTTTGTCCATTTTTTATTTGCTATATATTCAAGCAAGTGAAATTAAAATAGAATTCACAATGCTTTTGGCTTTTGGGATAAGTGATTTGGAGAGATTGATAAATATATATATTTTTTTGATAAGTATGTTGCCTTACTCTTAATTAGCGAAGAGGTATTTCCAATTGATGTTTAAAAAGTTTAGGTGTTATTGGCTGGTCTCTGCTTCAATTCACTGGAAAGAATTCTCTTAATTCTGATGAGTTATGAATTTTGTTGTTTGTCTGAATGAATAACTTTATGTCTTGTGCTTGTGGGTGGGTGAAGAGGTTATCAGTTTTTTTTTTTTTTTTTTTTTTTTTTTTTTTTTCAAGGAATCTTGTCTCATGCTGGTCTTTCAGCTGTAATGTTGTTATTGTTGTAGCTTGTGTGCTTTTTAAAATCAGTCTTTCAGTGGTTGCTGCTATTTGAATAACTTTTTATTTCTAATTAAGTTATTATTTTTTAAATTTGGATTTGGGCTGTGCCAGGGAAGTCCCTCAACCATGGCTTGGACTTGAAATATCTGATCTTGACACAACAGGGTTGGGTGACTTAGAAAAGTTAATCCAGAGTTCCCCTAATACCTTAAGTGGTGTTTTTGTTCGAAAAGTTTGTGTGCCTTTGTACCTTTCTTCATTTATCTTCAAGATTATGATTAAGCTAAATTGTTGGATAAACAGTTTAAATGGATGCACCATGAAGCTGAAATTATCTACCTTTGTGATGTAAGGTGCTTTTGCCGTTTTATGAGGCTATTTGCTACTAAGAGGAGTCCATGTTTTGTAACTCATTTATTATCTCTAGATGCAACATTCACTTATTAATTCACCAAAATAAAGCTTAGAACATTACGGCTTCACAAGCTTAGGGAGACCTTTGGTGGTTTTGCTGTCGTTAATGGCTTAAGAGATACATATGCTCATAGATGAGACATTCGGATTGTAGTTGAAAGAGGGAGGACATGAATGTGAAGAAAGAGGGAGTTGAGGACTCAACCTAGGAACCAAATTACATAAGTTAGGAAGCAAAGCCAATTATAAATATCAGAACATAATTCCAGCCAATACATCCAAAACTAATCTTCATAAACTTACATTCTCCAATAAACACATTTTTTCAAATTTCAAGTCTACAACCATACATTTATTTTCATCTGAATTTATATTCAAGGAACATAAAAATTAAACTAGAATTATATATTTTTGCTAAACAAGAATGACATGATCAAGAAATAACCAAGGATTATCATTCTTTTACAATATCTCACTGAAGTATGTAATCCAAATAACAAGCAACATAACATATAAGCTTCTGCCATAAAAAAATAATGATATAGCAGGCTTACATATAGATAAGTCAAAATCCATCTTATTTTTATCCTCTTGTTTTTGGAGCATCTAATCATCAATTTAAATCTTCTTTTTCTTCTATCCCTCCTCTTTGAATTTTCCTCTACCCCTCAAAATTTCCAAATTACAATCTAACCATCCAAAGTAATCATATATTTTACACATTGAGTATATAGCTAAAGATATCCTTTCTACATCACATTAAGTACAAAGTTACATAAAAATGCAAATTCAAGTTATTCTACCCCTCAAAATTCAAAGAGATCCATTTTCCATCACATAATCATAAACCTACATCAAATTCAAATCTTCTTTCGAGTATGACTACTGTCCTATCTATGTTTACCCAAAATTTACAGTTTTCTAAATAAGAGAAAATTTTACACTCCTTTAAATCTTCGGACAAACAAGCAGCTGTCGAAAAATGTTTTTACTGATATGAGTCTTCACTTCCAATTTCACTTCAGCTTTTGCAAGAAATCCGCGCCAAACTTCGGCCTATGTCCTTTCCCCCGATTTTATTTCACTCTAAAAAATTTTAAGAAACAATCTTTAAAAAATTCTTCCTCTACTTATCCCCATTATACTCGAGACTTTATTGGGAGGAGTAAATAGATTAGTGATAAACATGCAATCAATTAGTGGCGCCTTAGCACTCACATGGATTGATCATGATAGTTTATACAGCTAGTTATTATATAGTGTAACAATTACTAAAATTGAGAGGTTCTTTACATTACTTTTATTTATTTATTATTGAACGTGTTATTAAAATGTCATTGAAACATGTCTGTTATGTATTGTAATACTATTTTATTACACTAATATGTTTCTTTATTGTATAATTTTAGGAAAAGGATGGACCATTACAATTTCATTCAGAAGATATAGTTGGTGTGAAGTTATCCGAAAAGCAAAGAGCACGATTTTACAAGAAAATGGCTCTGTAATTGTTAAGGTAGAAGTGTACGAATCAGAAATCCTCATGTTTGATTGGGAAGGAGCAGGTGTATTTATTTCTAAGGAAGGACACATATTGACCTTATCACATATAATTTGTGGAAAAAATGAGAGTGCTAAAATAAAAGTGACCACAAAGGAGGAGCTAACATATGATGCTTATGTGATGTCGATTGATGAATCATTAGGTCTTGCTATCCTTTCCATTTCTGAATCAGATATTCAATTTTCTTATGCAAAGATTGGTAAAAATGTATGTCTTGGAGAAGAGGTTTATCCTATTGGTTATCCGTTTTTCTTGGGTTTTTCATATCCAGTTGGACAAGTTTCATTTTCTTGTCGGACACATGGAGAGTTATGTGAATCTTTAAGAGAAGAAATGTTGACAAACGATATGTTAAATAAAAGAGGTGAAAAGAGTTAAGACCCTAGTGCAAAATATATATGTTATGTCGACAACTTAGAACACTTACAGACCCTATCTCCTTCGGTGTCGTTTGTTCAAGGAAATAATTTTCATGGTGATGGCATGGGTCGAGCAAGTGGAATGCCATTATTTAACTGTCATGGGGAAATTATTGGCATGTACTATGTAGTAGCATATGATCAGTGTTTTGGAATTCATGCCAAAACACTCAAACCATTTTCTTAAAAGGTACTTTTCATTTTTTTTTTTGCCCTTTTTTTATTGTATCTCTTTTAAAACTTATAAAATTGTAACTTTGTATCTTCTATATTTGCAGTGTTTTTCCAGATGGTTTGTCTCAAAAGAAAAAGAAAAAGGAAACATGGAAACACAAAGGTGATATAGCTTTCAATTTATTTCCTACCTATATTTATACAAAGTATTTCCTTTCTCCAGTATGCATGTATACTTAGTAACTATAATTCTTAGCCTTTTAACTTGATATCTCTTTAGTTTTTATACAATAACCTTTAATGATATTCAACAGACTCTACAAGATGTCAATCCTTAGTTTTGTAAATTATTTCCCTTTTATCATATTATCTGACTTTATTGTGTCTTATGGCACCATACATTAGCCAATCGAGATTTTTCTTTGATGTTAGAAGAAAAGATGATTTTATGTAAGGATTTTTTTTTTATGATTTGCATTTACTTCTATGTAAAATAATATAAAGCTGAACTTCTAAGATCATAAAGCAATTTTAGGTATAAGATATGATTTGCATTCAGTGAAACTCGAATTCAAGTAGTAGCTAATTGATGATGTGATTGACATTGACTGTGTTGTTTAGATAGTATGTGAAATATTGCTGAATTTGCTGACATCTATTCATACACACTCTAGGGGAGACGAGCACAAAATAACTAGTTACATACGACTTTTTTGTGAGAGGAGCCTCATTGAAGGTCACAGTATTGCTGCCACACTCTCTTTCCCTTTTCCCTTGCATAAACCTACCGATATGTATTTTTCTTTTCATCATTACTTAAAGGATATCTAAGTGTCTCTGTCTCAGAGACAAAGCGGTGATAATATTTTGTAACATATTACGGATGGTATATTGAGCTTGGAAAGTTAGCATGTCCACCAAGCTGATCATCATTCTCTTTCTCTGATGATCATGTCTACAAATTCTCCTTTGAAGAGTCTTCTGTGCTTTGTTTCCTTTCATTTAATCCTAACTTGAATGGAACGCTTAGCGTCTTTTCATAACTTTGCATCACAAGAAGTTCTTTGGTGGCATCATATCAAGGCTTTATCATCAGCTTAATCTGTGGGAAGGGGTTAGAGAGGGTGGAGATCACGCGTTGAGGTAATCTAATGAATTTTACAAAAATACTCAATCAAATGTCAAATGGAACACAAGTACACATGGCTGGCCCCTCCCCCCCCAAAGCCTTTCTATATAGCAGCGAGAAACAAAATGCCAACAGTTACACGGCTTACACCCTCTGGTGGAAAACCAAAGGTGTACATGACCAAAGCATTCCAAATTGTAAACTACTTATACCAATTCAGGTGGGAGTTCTTCCCATAGTCTAGAATTACTATTTCAGTAATTTCAATTGTATAATTAGCGGATTCGTATATGTGGAACTATACTAACAATAACATCATATGAAACACCACAGAGGGAAATCTCTGCCATGATGTATATATGATTACCAACACATAATTATGTCCCATTCTCCACATACCACACTCTAAACCATGAAGATGTTGATACGCAACATAATTGTTCAAGGTAGCATTATAATACATAAAATGTACCCTACATCAGAATTGTTTTAAACCAACGTTTTCTCCAATATATATCCTCGTGTTTGGATGATTCATTAAGAAGAAAAGAAGACATAATGAGACTTGACACGCATTTGCAAGTTGTGTCTTGGACTGTGACTGACAGTCTGACACCATAAGTTACTATTAGAATTTTCTACATCTTTAAACAACAGAATTGTGTCACACTGCTATTCAGAATTTTTTTTCTAAGCTTGTCCACCTCAGCTTCTGAAATGCAGCTTTTGATTTTAAAAAATAACAGTGTTTCCATGACAGTCGCGACTATAAAGAGTGCGGCGGTATAAAATATACTGCCCTAGCCTTCCAACCTAACGATGCGGGTTCGATTCCCGCTACGTTCTCAGGAGCTTGGATTATTTGATTGTTATTTCTGGACAAAGCACAGAGGGAGTTTTCTTAACTTCACCAAAGAACCATAGAATATGCATATGCAAGGATTCCTCAACTCTTTTATACTAAGGTCCCGTTTGGTTTGATGTAAAACATTTTCAAGGAAAACCACACTTGCAAAATAGTTTTCCTTTGTTTGGTTCTTACAAGAAAAGTTAAAGAGAAATTAAAAATAGCAGTGGAAATGTGGGGATGGATGAGAGGAAAGTAAAAAGGAGATACACTAAAGCGAAGGGGGGAAAATGTAGCTTCCTAGTAAAGAAAAATGTTTTCCACCATTATGGATGCAATTTTCCACTATTGGGAAAATTATTTTCCACCCTTCACAAACCAAACAAAGGAAAGTGGGAAATAATGGGAAAATTATTTTCCATGAAAACCTTTTACATCAAACCAAATGGGGCAGAAGTTGAAAACGTTTATAGGCTGCACTAGTGTAACTTCAAATATAATTGTATTTTATAATGCTTTGTTCTATGGGTCACAAGTCTCACAACTAGCGAATTTGTAAATGTGAGCTATTACAGCACACAAAAACTAACGATAGAAAAGCATCGGAAAGGGAATACTGCATAAGAGCCATCATAATTCATAAAACACCCAAGACAACTTCAGAACATGCTGCATGCCAGAAAATAATATTAAAACTAGAATTATTCTTGAAGCTATAAGATAAGAGGCAACATTAAGCCTAAGTATGCTGTATTATTAATGCATTGATGAGTACTAACTTATTGTTGAGTAGCTCTAGCTGGGCAAATTTTTAATTTAATTTTATCAGGAAGACAGGAACCAATAATTATCTTAGGGACGGTATGTCAGTATTGCATTGAGTACTTTCTGTTGGTTGCCTACATAGTCATAACTAGCCTCCATGTATCCAAGTTGAACAAGTAAATATTTTCCCTACAATCACAACATAACAATTATACCATCTACCTGCATCGGTACCCTCAACATATTCATGTTAATGGATTAAAACCTTTCCTGCCCAGACTTCTTCATCCATTCTTATAATTATATCCTTATTCTATTTTTAATAATTCACGTTTACAAAACAGATTCATCTTGAAAGAGCACAAAATAAGCTAGGTTAACAAAGCCATAATAGAGCAGATGCAATACCTCAAGCTGACTCCCAATTGACTTTCCGTCACAACTAATGATAACATCGTCAGCACATAGACCAGCAACACTGGCAGGTGACTCTTGCTTTACCTGTTTGACAGTGGGAAATCTCCAGTGAATAAGATCATGAAATCAATTAATATGAACATAGGTGACTTCAAGCAATTGAGAGCAATCAAATAAGTTCCAAATTTTGAACTTATGTCCATTAATTCAACACAACGAAATTCCATTAGCTCTTTAAATACTACTGCTCTACAATAAAACCTTTTTCATTAACTAAAATCACCACAGAAACAGGAAACTTCAGAAGTAAGAAGTAGATTTGAAGTAAAGGTCTAATCCAAAATTTATCTAAATAATCTTAAAGACATAAAGGACGAAGATTCAACCTACCTCAGGCTCACACCCAGAATGGGAAGAGTTCAAAAGACTAGAACTAATATGTGGAGTGCTAATGGGACATAATGCATAAAGTAATAATTCAAACTCGGAAATCATAGCAAAGAAGTCGTAACGATATTAAGTGATAATTTAAACTGAGAATTGTTCTAAAAACATTAAGTGATAGTTCAAACTAGAATTCATAGTTCCGTTTTAACTTTATGGAACTCTCACTACTAACTGTTTAGGGTAAAAATTACCCTAGACACGTGGCCCAATGAGCGCCTGACACGTGTCACCTCCCTATAGCACCATGGGCATCCAATCAATGGATGCCACGTGGCATTGTACCCCCAATGGGGGAGCAGATCTTCATCTGCTATAAATAGAGGAATCATCTTCATTTATTGGCATTCAGAAATACCGACACCAAACCCGAGCAATATTAATTGCGGAATCTCCCGGAATCCGAGAGAAATACCCGTTTACTTTCCGCACGTAATCTAATCCGGAATCATACTAACTTGATCTTCGGAGGCGAAACTCCACCCAACCGGAGTTTCGTGGTTTTGCAGGAACATAAGTCAGGCGTGCATTCTCGGTGCTGTAATTCTCCCGTAGGACACTTCAGAAAACCCCGAAACATTTGGCGCCGTCTGTGGGGACAATACCACGGAGATGACATCTGACAATGTACCAACTGCAGAGGGCAGCCGGCCCACGGCTGACCCTGAGGTCTATACGGACCACGAAAGTGGAAGCGGTGACGACTACAACGTCGAAACCTATATGGCCCCATACGGGTCATTCCGTTCTAGGCACATCCGTTCCAAAGAAAGGAAGGAACGGGGCCAAGACAAAGCTTGCCCCAACAACCCAGGCGGCAAGCACCTTGGACAAACCCAAGCAGCGGAGGGGGCTGCCCCCGTCACCAGAGACGAACTCATGAATCTCATGACTAGTTTCAAAGGGGAAATCAAAGACATTATCCAGAAGTCAGCTGGCTCCAGCAAGGGCCAGTCGGCCAAGAAGGCTTCCGGGAAGAAGCCAATTAAAGACCGGGTGCCTACTCCTCACACGAAGCCCGGGGGGCGGATGGGCCCCTAATCGATCTTTCAAAAATTCGTTTCCCTGAATTAGGGCAGCGAAAGGCCATCCAGCATATACAGCCGGATGGGTCAAAGAAGACCTTCTTTGACGCCCGGTTGTTAATCCAGGAGAAGAGAAGTCAGAGCATGTCTCAGTCGGCTTCTACGTCGACCTACCCAGACAGTTTCCTCAATACTTCAATGAAGCATTCGGAAACCAACCCAGGGAGCCAGTCACACGGCACGTCCGTACGTACTACTCCTCATGTGATCCATCAGGCTCCATATGTGCCCCAACAACCATATGGACCCGGATCACCCTATATTCAGCTGTCCCCCTTTGGAGGACTGGCGGAAAATATAGACCAACCCATGGACTGGCAGCTCCGGCTGCTAAACCTAGGGGAACAGCCTTCGACTTTCTCCCGGGAAATAACCAAGGCGGCTCAGCCTGCTAAGGTTAAGAACGTGTTGGTAGGAACCTACGACGGTACCACCAACCCGGAAGATCACCTGATGGCATACACCAACCTCATGTACCTACAAGAGTTGGATGATGCCGCTTGGTGTCGATGCTTCCCAGCAACACTGAAGGGCATAGCCCAACGGTTGTTTGGCAACCTATCGGCTGGGTGCATCAATAATTTCAGGACGCTTGCATATCTGTTCGCGTCCAACTTCTCCATGAATATCCCTGCCAAGAAGACTAGCCTCGACCTAGGGGCTATCCAGCAGGGAGACAAGGAGGGATCCAGTCCTATGTCAGGCGGTTCAATCTGATGAGAATTCAGATACAGGGACTGTCTGACGAAGTTGCGTACCCTGACTTCTTCAAGGGTCTGAAGGATGGGTAAACATTCAAGTTTGATCTGGTCCGCAAGAGGGTTGCTACCCTCCAAGAGGCACTAATGGAGGCCGAAGCTTACATACAGGCGACGGAACTCTGTGCCATCAAGCACTCGTCAGAACCCAGG